CACCATGCACCCGGCCTGAACGGCACATCCTGCCCAATCACACTCGCATGGCGCAACCTATCGAGCCCCACGCTTGGCCACATGATACTACATATGTAAGGAGTCTATAGGTGTGACGGCGGGCTCAGGTGCCGCTCGCACGGTCGGATACGTGCCCCAAGCCCTGGGTTTGACTAGGTCCCCCACCATGCACCCGGCCTGAACGGCACATCCTGCCCAACCACACTCGCATGGCGCAACCTATCGAGCCCCACGCTTGGCCACATGATACTACATGTCTAAGGAGTCTATAGGTGTGACGGCGGGCTCAGGTGCCGCTCGCACGGTCGGATACGTGCCCCAAGCCCTGGGTTTGACTAGGGCCCCCACCATGCACCCGGCCTGAACGGCACATCCTGCCCAACCACACTCGCATGGCGCAACCTATCGAGCCCCACGCTTGGCCACATGATACTACATATGTAAGGAGTCTATAGGTGTGACGGCGGGCTCAGGTGCCGCTCGCACGGTCGGATACGTGCCCCAAGCCCTGGGTTTGACTAGGTCCCCCACCATGCACCCGGCCTGAACGGCACATCCTGCCCAACCACACTCGCATGGCGCAATCAATCGAGCCCCACGCTTGGCCACATGATACTACATATGTAAGGAGTCTATAGGTGTGACGGCGGGCTCAGGTGCCGCTCGCACGGTCGGATACGTGCCCCAAGCCCTGGGTTTGACTAGGTCCCCCACCATGCACCCGGCCTGAACGGCACATCCTGCCCAATCACACTCGCATGGCGCAACCTATCGAGCCCCACGCTTGGCCACATGATACTACATATGTAAGGAGTCTATAGGTGTGACGGCGGGCTCAGGTGCCGCTCGCACGGTCGGATACGTGCCCCAAGCCCTGGGTTTGACTAGGTCCCCCACCATGCACCCGGCCTGAACGGCACATCCTGCCCAACCACACTCGCATGGCGCAACCTATCGAGCCCCACGCTTGGCCACATGATACTACATGTCTAAGGAGTCTATAGGTGTGACGGCGGGCTCAGGTGCCGCTCGCACGGTCGGATACGTGCCCCAAGCCCTGGGTTTGACTAGGTCCCCCACCATGCACCCGGCCTGAACGGCACATCCTGCCCAACCACACTCGCATGGTGCAACCTATCGAGCCCCACGCTTGGCCACATGATACTACATGTCTAAGGAGTCTATAGGTGTGACGGCGGGCTCAGGTGCCGCTCGCACGGTCGGATACGTGCCCCAAGCCCTGGGTTTGACTAGGGCCCCCACCATGCACCCGGCCTGAACGGCACATCCTGCCCAACCACACTCGCATGGCGCAACCTATCGAGCCCCACGCTTGGCCACATGATACTACATGTCTAAGGAGTCTATAGGTGTGACGGCGGGCTCAGGTGTCGCTCGCACGGTCGGATTCGTGCCCCAAGCCCTGGGTTTGACTAGGTCCCCCACCATTCACCCGGCCTGAACGGCACATCCTGCCCAACCACACTCGCATGGTGCAACCTATCGAGCCCCACGCTTGGCCACATGGTACTACATATGTAAGGAGTCTATAGGTGTGACGGCGGGCTCAGGTGCCGCTCGCACGGTCGGATACGTGCCCCAAGCCCGGATGGGGCCTCAGGCATCCGCCGCAGATCCGGAGGTCATGCCTGCTTGCATGCACGCTTGCTGTTGGCCAGTGCGGGGACTGCATGGGCGCGCCGGCCTTTGGGCGGGACTTGTGGGCGCCGGTGGTTCAGCAGCGCGAGTATGCCTGCACATGCAGGCGCTGGTAGTTGGACAGTGCGTGGAAGGATGCCTCCCTCTGCCATAACCCGTGCGGCGCCCCTGCAGCTCACCTGCGTCGCCCCGTGCTTTGCTTGCCTTACAATGCCCTTCCCCGTGCGTCTGCCCTTCCCCGTGCGGCCCTGCCTCTCCCCGTCATTGCCCGTTCCTCGAATTAACTGAACGGATGAGCCTGCCGCTACAGTGGTGGTTTAATGGCGGCTGCCTACCCCTGTCCTTCCATGCCAGGCGTCTGCCTGCCCTTGCCCTTCCCTTGTATTGACTGCCCCCCTCTGCCATCTTCTCTGTGCGGCCACCCTTCCCCGGGCAGCACCTGCCTCTCACTGCTCTTCCCCATGTGGCGCCGCGAGTGCGGCCTCCCTACCCTTCCTCGTAAAGTTTCTGCCTCCAAGTCCCCTCACGGGCTTCGGGTAGCTGACTTGCACAGGGGGTGTCTGCGTGCGCGCATTGGTGTTGGTACATGGGATGCATGCGTTCACCAGCGCGGTAGTTGGGCATGGTTGGTGTGCGTACAAGCATGGGCGCCGGTACTTGGGCATGGCGGGTATGTATGCATGTATCGCATGGGCCGGGTGGGCATGCATTCAGGCGTCGGCGCGGCAGTGATGCTCGCGCTCATGGGAGCTGGTTCGTGGCAGGACGAGAGGATGTCTGCACGCTTGAGCACAGACATCTAGAAGGGGAGGGTATGCATGCACATGTGGGTGCCGGTAACTGGCACGGCATGTATGGCCACCACTCGGCTTTGCAGCATACATAGATGTTTGTAGCCAAGAATTATCGCAGGCTTTGTTGCCAAATAAGATGCTGTCACAGTTGCTTTACTTGTTTGGGCTTCAGGAGTAGCGGAGCCCGAGCGTGTTGCGTGCGTGTACGCCACATCCCGTCGTTAAGCATTGGACAGGTCTTCACCTTTAGTGTGTACCTTTCCTTTGGCTTCCACAAGCCGTTTGTGCTTCCTACCCGTCTAGCAGCCTTGGCAACAATCGCTGCCATTCCTTTTGTGCTTTGAGCATCCTTCTGCATCCTCACGCCCTACATGCATGCGTGCAACCGCATCTCCACGACATCACCTTCCTCCCGCGAGCTACGGGCAGCTCCCGCCGAAGGCGGGTGTCACCACTGGAGGCGCGCTAAGCGTGACCACCCTAAGAGCATTTTTTTCGCGACTCAGGGGCAGAGTCACTCTAAGCCTAAAGCTGCCCAAGGACCCTAGTTGTGACTACTGCTGCCGTATAGTGCCGTAAGGTGCCGACACACTATACTTTGACCACACTACCCCTGCTAACGTATGTGTACCTAAGGCTACTAGTGGGGGCTATATATCGAGACTGGCTACGCGTGCGGAAGTTATGTGACGGGGTAATATCCAAGCACGTACGTCCACCTAAGACTTATCAGCAGTTGGGGACCGTAGGTTGTTGTTGCCGTACCAAGCACTTGGTTGCAGTGGCAGGCAGGGGTACAGGTTACAGAAGATGGAAGGGGCTGTTGCTGACCTTCCAGACGTGCGAGCATGAAGGGCCCTGGTGGTGCGACCCTTGTTGACAGGAGAGAAAGAGTCTTACTTGGCCTTGACTTGTTACCAGAAAGGGGAGAAGGGCTATCGGGCCTTTGCCGGAACCGCCTGCCTACCCGCCCTGGGTTAGGGTCTTGGACTGGTTGGACTGGTTAACTAAAGTACCACAAAACTCAGCCTTTTATACTAATGGGAAAAGTACGACAATTGTACGGAAACCTACTATTGGCCTGCCAGATCCTACTACGGCAGCTGCCAGAAGCTGCCAACGTAATTTGGAACCTTCCAGAGGCCATTCGACACCTTCGTACGGTTTCCCGTACAGGGTTTCGGAGGCCTAATGACTGACCCCGGGTCAAACCCTCTAAAGTAGGCCGCAAAGCTATCAAACGCATACAAAACATTAAGCAGGATGAGTAACAAACATGTTCGCAAACGCAAAACAATCAAACAATCATGTTCGCTAAAGCGTCTTTCTCCGACCACAACCAAACTGCTTTTGCAACTTCCTCATCTTAGGCTAAAGTGGCTGACACGGGCCTTACTAGTTATTAAACAAGCTTTTAATGTCCGGTAACGTCTTGCGCTGTCCCGTGGGCCCCTGGTTCACCATGGCAGTTGTTTGGCAACCGAGTCAAGCTTTTGGCTATGGAAATTGAATGTGTATTTGTAGCAGGTTGGTTGAAGCAGTCCTTTCGAGGAAAGCCTCCAGTTTTGGGCAATCAAGCAGCATGCCCTTCCAACAGCATATACTGTAAACCTCCAGCGCTTTCTGTGGCTTTTTATTCTTTATCATGTATACAATGCAAGGCGTCGACATTCTTTATGTAGACGCGCGAAGCTAAAGGGCAGTTCCAACATTGAATGCCGACATTCGCCAAGCTCCCTGCCTTCGAGAAGAGTGCAACAATAATAGACTTAGCTGTAGCAAGAGCGCACCTGCAATGAACAGCACGCAAAGCTGTACGTGCACTCTGAATGCGGTCTCTTTGATATTCCGCGCTATGTGGGATAGCACGAAGTGTGGTATGTCACATAGTATAGGATGAAGCAAGTTGTATGTGGCTGGGCATGATGTGTCGGTCAACGCCCCAATGTCGCATATACAGGGTACGAGCGGTAACGGAAACGTGCGGAAACGGAAACCTGCGGAAATGGTATCCGCAGTATCCGCATCAGCGGTCCCAGTTTTGCGGAAAGGCGGAACTTTCCGCACAGGCTGTACGGCGGAAAGTCAAACAAGGAGACCGCTAGGAGGCAAGCATGCGGTGTCTGATATTAGGTTGGAATTAGGTTGGACTGCTTACCACATTAAGAAATGGGGAGTCTCTGCGATCGCTAGGTAACGGCCATGCAACCGACACCTCCCAGAGCACTTACATGCACAACCCTCCCCAGTTCTCTATCAGTTTGGGGCTGAATTGACCGGCGTTTTGTGGGGAGCATTGCTAGGAGGGCGTAAAGGTATCATAAGGATTGTATAACAATGCAATAGGACGGATTTCTTGGCTATAAAATAGCATTTTGAGGTTTCGCCATGTTTCGCCGGTTTCGCCAGGTTTCCGAAAAGGGCCATGGAATGCGGAAACTTTCCGCAAAGGGCCCAGCAGTTACCGCTCGTACCCTGCGCATATAATATGGTACAGCACATTATGTTTACTCACATATATTTTGGCATACTTTGCTGGGGACCTAGCTGGCTTGTAGGACATTCGTTTCTAAAGGTAGCGATGCCGCAATAAATCACACTGGTATGGTGTTATTCGTGTGCTTGGCGCAAGTGGGGACCGTATAACTAGTTAGGAACATGGTCCGCAAATCGATCTTACCTCTTATAAGGGCGCTGTTAGCTATCTGCGTTTGCGCGCAAGGTAAGCTTCTCCTTGCCGTCGTGTGCAGGTCCGACAGCTAACAACGTTGCATACCAGAGTTTCTCCGTGCTAGCGCGTGGTATAATTGACTTATTGCACAATAACGCTTTCTTATTTCCAGTTCGAGCGGCGCAGCCGTCTATCTTGGTAAACGAGGTTGGAAGCCAAGGACGCGAGCGTTTACTGCTTCAAGGCGTTAACGCGTCAGGTTTGTATAGCCCATATTCGTAGGGTGACTAGCTCCTAAGGTGTCAGCAAAAGCAATGTGTCTAACTCTTATACCTGTGGCCAGTGTCACGGTAGCCACTGGAGGCTAGCGTCCTTTGGTATTTAGAGACCGCGCAGTAATACAAGGCACCGTGGCTAGTTTTTCGGTTTTTTAAGGAAAGAAGTAGTTTCCGCAACCAGCACTGCTTTTAGAAATCTGCTCCCACATGTTGAACTGCCTAAGCCTTTCATTCAGGCTTAATGTTTAATTGCTAATGGTGCGCGAATGTACGATAGGCGAACTAACTCACTCCCACTTTCATGCGTTCCTTGCAGCTGCCGTCGTGGTCGGGAACTATGATTCGCCTTTCTGGGCTATCGTCGACCACGGCGTTGATTTCCCGGACACCGAGGCAAAATGGATTTGGTCGTCTCCGTTTTCGGCGTATAACACGTCAACGAACAAGTACTTCACGTTCATAAAGGCCTTCGCCGTTGGCGAAATGATTAACGCTACATTATACTTAATTGCCGACAGTGAAGCTGACGTCTACCTCGACGGCGAGTTAAAGGGCTCTCAGCGCGGTGGTTGGTACACTTGGGGTGAAGTCATGACGCCCATCAAGCTGGTTCTGCAGCCCGGAATCCACACCCTCAGTTTGTTGGGGGTGAACTACCCCTGCTACGAAGGCTGCAACAACCCAGCGGGTGTGCTGGCAGTCCTGGTAGATGACAGCAGCAGTGAAGTTATTGTACGGACGGACGAATCCTGGTCTTGGACATACAATGGTACCGGTAAGCAACCGCCGTTCATTCTTTAATGCTCACTCACTCCATGCTCCGGCATTTTCTCCGCTACAACACACTTTCCTTACCCAACGCATCTCTATTGGCGCTGTTGCGACCTTCTTGTTTTTGCAACCTAACCGACCTATGTAAAGGCCTCATCATCCACTTATTTGGCCACTTCTGCCTTGCCCGCAAGACCCCATGAAGTGCGCGCCCCCGTTTCCTCGTCTTATTACACCATGCAACAACCTTGTTTTCCCGCTCTATCCACCCTCCACCCTGCCTGCAGAGGGTGATATCCGACTTGTTGCCAGTAGCGGTCTGGTCCCTGACCAGCAGCAGGGCGTGGTCCAGATCTTACTATCGCGCCGCTGGGTCAGCCTGCACCAATACAGCTGGGGCCTGCGGGAGGCGCGCGCCGCATGCAGGCAGCTGGGCTGGGGTACAGGCAGCCCCGTCATCAGCGCAGGGATGCGGTACGGCAGCCGGCCTGAACCCGTGTACAGCAGCTGGTACTGGTACTGCGACTGGAGCAAGAATCGGCTGGTGGACTGTGGGGGCTACTCGTGGACTCTGTCGTTGTTTACGAAAAACGGCACCGAGTTCAATGAGACCGCGGGTGTGGAGTGCCGCAACGGTGAGGGGTGATTGGGTGAGTGATAAGGCTGTCAGAGCTAAGGTGTCTAAGGATAGGTAGGAAGTGGCAGTGAAGGGATCCCAACTAAATTATTACATACGTCCAAACGCCCTCACCGCCTTCCTCCTGCTTCACTGAACTCCGTCCCTTCTAACATCCTCCCTTCCCCTTCTTTCTGATCCCCATCGAATCCACTACCTCCCAAACCCTAAACCACACACTCGTCGTCGCCACGTCAGACCCGCCCGCCCGCGACGGCGACCTGCGGCTGCTGGGCGACAATGCCACCCTCAGCGGCGCCGGCGTCGTGCAGGTTTACTTCGCCGACACCTGGGGATACTTCAGCAGCTGGGCCAGCTGGGACTACCTGGACGCGCGCGCCGCCTGCAGGCAGCTGGGCTGGGAGACGGGTGCAGCGCTCGGGGACGCGGGGGCGCTGTACGGCAGCGCGGTGGTGGTGGGGCCCGTGTGGCGGCTTTACCCTTACTGCAGTTGGTGGGATACCCGGCTGATGAATTGCTCGCTGGGCGGGAGCTACGAGTACCTGGAGGCGACGGACGCGCACGGGTTCAACCACACGGCGGGCGTGCAGTGTAGGAACGGTGAGCTAGGGGGAGGGCATGGGCTGCAGGATGTGGCAACTACTGCTACTGTATTGCGCAGAACTTCATGGAGACAAGGGGTTCAGCTTCCTTAAAGCTGGAAAAGGGCGGAGCCCCTCCTCTTCAGTACAGGAACGTATTATTACCACTGGAATGAATGCGATTATTCCAGGGGAGTGGAACGGCTCAAGTGCGATGCACAACCCTATGGGCCTTATAGACCTGGAATGCGCTCCTGTGACTCCACGGCACCAGTTGACCTAACACACCTTGTTATACGGACGCTGAACCCCCTTGTTTACTGTAGTTTTAGTGCTCGTTGCATGGCTAGACGAGCTCAGAGCCCCTTGTCCAGCCGAGGCCGGCCGCCTTGTTCACCCATGGCGTACATAGTGTCCTCACTCATTGCACACATTGTTAGGTTACGCCTGTTCAATCGAGTACTTAGTGACCTCTTATCATGCTTGATAACACCCACGCATTGGGCTACAGAACCCAAATCGACGGCGTAACTGCCACATGGGAGTGCTTTCAGGGTCCCGCAGGTCGTTAGGGTTTCACCTACATTACTAACATGATGAGGAGGTCAGGCTCGGCAATCTCGGCATCGTGCTCAGAAGGACTTCAGCCATTGCGCCGTCACTTGGCATGTTAGCTTATAAGCGAGGTACCCCGTACCCGTTTGCGTTACAGTTCATGCGCATTATGGCACACAACCCCATAGCAAAGGCTTGCAACATCGTCACAAAGGATTGTGTGGGCTCTGAGTAGCACAGTAGATGCGAGCATGCTCCCGCCGACTTTCACAGGTAGCCCTTTTGCGACACGCCGCTGTTACCTATTCGCTAAATACTGTGTACGGTACCAGGACAAACCATAGAGGGGCGCTAATCAGTGTTGCCGAGGTGGTCCTTGTTAAATGGCTGGGCAATAAATCGTTTGTTGTGAAATTAAGTTTGTTTGGCTTCCAGTTATTTTTACTGAATACAGATAACAAATATCTATTAGGTGCAATAAATAGTTTTGTCTAGTTTGTATGTTTTGCCGTTACGGACACACGGACAGGGGCAATTTCTGGGGGGCGAAGCCCCCCCCCGAAGCCGCTTCGCGGCGGGGGCTCCGCCCAAAAAAATGACATGGCGGGGCGTGCCAGGGGGGGGCCGTCGCAACTTGGGTTGTGGGGTGTGGTGGGGTTTGGGGGGGTGTTGTTTCCCCATGCTGCCTTCCCGTATATATATATATATATATATGCCTCCAACTTGCTCTCTATTGCGCACAGCGCCCCACCCAATCGCCCTGTCGCTTGCCACCTTTGTCCGACTCACCCTCTATCAAGCTACGCTCCACGCACGCGCCATCAAACATGCGGTGGCCCTTCCACTCGCCCTCGCTCACATGCCGTACCTCCTACTACTCGGCTTCCCTCTCTTCTTTTGCAGTAAGCGAAGGTACCGCTATTCATAGACATAGAAATAGTTATGCACTACTTCAAGCTGGCTTCCCCGTTTACTTTGCTTCGATTTACTGTCATAGCATCTTACGAGTTCCACCTTAGATGGCCAACCGGCTTCTGTTAGCGTCAGGATGTCAGGGTGTCTACATGAAGTGGCTGGTCATATTTCGTTGTATCCGTGTGCAAGTCGAGTCGACTCCTTGCTTGAAGTCGGGATGTAGTCGCACTCGCCTGCGGTGCTCTTTAGCGAGGGTCTCCTACATGGCTCAGGCGCCACATGGCAAGTTCAAATGCTGCATTTTGATAACGTGTTGTGGCCTTTCGCGATACGTATATCAGTCAACCTAAGACAACGTTATCGTCCTGCTAACAGCTCATTTAATACATCATAAGTTCAGACATCATAAATGCTATGCAGAGTAGCTTGGTTCGGACGTGGGTTAGTGGTTGTCGAGAGTTGCTTTGGCATCGCAGTATGCTCGGGTCCGTTTTGCCTTTCAATCGTCTGTACTTAAGCCCTGGCAGATATATGAGTGCGTACCGTTTTGTTTTCGCGGCAACCCGACACTGTCGCTGGAGTGTATGTATGTATGTGTTACAAGCTTCGTACCGAGCTCGTAAGATCCGTCCGAGCCAGAAGGGTCATGGATCGCGAGCACAAAACGCAAAAACAACCAAAAGAAGAAAAGTAAACAAAAGAGACAACAAACAGAACGCTAATCATATGATAAACCCTGTCTGCGCAATCCTGCGACTTCGCATGCTAGTGATTACGCTAGCAAGCAATGCCTGATTCTCCATGCCCATGACAGCAATCATATCAGCATCCCGTGAGACACCACTTTCCCATATCTTATCACGCAAATCATCGTAAGCGGGACATTCAATGAGGATGTGTTTCTCATCTTCCACTCTCCCCGGCGACCCCTGCACGGCACACATAGGACAGACACGCGCTACTCGTTGCCTACCCCTAGGGCGATTGGCTTCAATGCCCCACACACACAGCCGAAAACGCATCAGGTTCACATGCTGCCGCTGAGTAATGTACCCCCTGTCAACCGGGTCACCCATCCAATTCTTGTACCTGCACATCTTAACTCCAACCCCTGGTACGGGGTCTACTGGGTTGAAAAGCCGCGGGTCATCTTCCAAACTCCTATCCTCCCAATCTGCATCCATTCTATCAGCAAACTTTTTAGTGAGAGCAGACACATTTAGCTCCGTGCCAGCAATACGTTCCACACGCGCACCCAAGTCCAACTCACCCCCCAAGGCCGTCAAATCCGTCCCTAACATTTTCAGAATCTTCAACACCTTAGAACCCCAGCCATCATAATGCTCAGTACTGAGGGCCGAACGAATTTCACCTCGCAACGCCTGGTGGTAGACCGTGTCCTTCTGCTTGACCAGGTCATTCCAAAACCTCAGAAACAGTTCCAACCAGAAGACATGCAAGGGGCGCTGGTTAAACTCCTTAAACAGCAACTTATCCGGCGAGACTTTCACACCCGCAATCTCCCGAAGAAATTCCCTTTGTAACTGCACCATTGGGTCCCGCAAGGATCTGTCAAAGTACCTCGCGGAATTCTCGCAGTCCGTCATTAGCTTCAGCACTACATCAGGCCCCCACACCTGGACACCGTACGACAAGATGGAGCGGACTTGCACGTCGAAGCACTTAACTGCAACAGCAGGGACCAAAAGACCTAGGCGTTTTAATTTACGCTGAAGAGAAAACATAGCACGTCGGCCAGAGGTCAACAGTTCCTCTGTGCAGGAAACAAACGGTGTGCCAGGACCAAAGTGCAAACCAAGGTAACGGGCTCGTTGTACCCAGGGAATAACCATAGGTACTCGCGCATTTCCCTCAATAGAAGTCCACACCACGGGGCAAAGGGCAGCAAAAGCCTCGCGGATATTGGCACGAGGGTGGAAAACCATCAATTCACATTTACGAACATTCACCCGCATCCCAAAGGCCTCACACCACTCTCTCAAATCAGCAAGCAACACAATCAGCCGTCTGTGCGTCGTAGCGAAAAGGCTGAGGTCGTCGGCATACAGTTCCAACAGGATACGCCGGCCATCCGCATGGGGAGTCTGCTGCTTAGCGCGCATAGCATCAGGGAGCCACTTATCCTTAGCGTCAACATAGTCAGCAAACCCCTCGCCAAAAATCCCGTAAAGCGTAGGGCTGAGAGGGCATCCTTGCTTGACTCCCTGCGAAGATTCAAAAGGATCCCCCGTCACTCCGTCTACCCTGACATGCATCATGACCTTGTTGTAACAAGTCTTGAGAGCCTCCAACATAGCGCCATGCACACCCCGTTCCTCCAACCTTAACCACAAGAGATCACGTGGCACCTTGTCAAACGCTTTCTCAAAGTCAATCTGACAAACAGTCAAACTGTCGCTGGAGTAAAAAGGCAAGTAGTGACAATTGTCGTACTAAAAACGGACGTAGGATGTCCTTTTTTCGGAGGGCCTTGTTTGCCAACTTTAGATTATCGCGCCTTACTATTACCAGCTTTGCTAGTCCTTCTTTATCTATCTGCAAATCGGGCTGAACTGCATTCGTTAGTGGGCTTCCTTTGACAGGTGAAGGGCTGTGGAAATGTCAGGCCCACATCGTATCGCCCAGCATGCCACCCGTGTTGCTTGCTGCACACGTGCATTCAAGACGCCTTAAAGTGCACACGCTCACATGGCGGCCCTACCAGTAAAGCGGGGTGGCTTGCATGCGTGTGTGGGTTGCATGGGGCAAAGAGCGGGGCAAGTAAAGCAGGGGTGCGGGCATGCGTGTGTGGGTTGCATAGGCCGAGGGGGTGTGTACAGCGGGGTTGCTTGCATGCGTGTGTGCATGGGTTGCATGGGATAAGGGGGTGAGTAAAGCGGAGTTGCTTACATGCGTGGGTTGCACGGTGCTAGGGGGCGAGTAAAGTGGGGGTGCATGCGTGCGTGGGTTGCACGGGCCAAGGGCGCGAGTAAAGCGGGAATGCATGCATGTCTGCGGGCGTGGGTTGCATGGGGCGAGGAAGCGCGTAAAGCTACGGGTGCTTGCATGCGTGCGAGTGTGGGTTGCATGGGGTGAGGGGGCAAGTAAAGCAGAGGTGCTTAAATGCGTGCCTGTGTGGGTTGCATGGGGCGAGGGGGCGAGTATTAGAGGGGGTGCATGCGTGCGTGCACGGGTTGCATGAGGCAAGGGGGCGAGTAAAGCGGGGGTGCGTGTATGAGTTGCATGGGGCGAGGGCGCGAGTAGAGCGGGAATGCATGCATGTCTGCTGGCGTGGGTTGCATGGGGGAGAGGGCGCGTAAAACTACGGGTGCTTGCGGGGGCCCAGGGTCCTCACCAGGCCATGCCCAAACAGCGGCTTTTGAGGCGTTTGACCAATTATTAAATCAATCTAGCTCTGAATTAGAGCTAGAAAATCGCCGACAGAAGGTCAAATGGGGCAGAAAATACATCAGTGTTGCCAATTGGGGCTGGAAAACAGGCTTCAAAATGCATGTCAAGTAAAATATGGGCAATACTGTATATGACTTCGTCGCTGCACGTGCATGGCCTTTCCACACCACCCCTCCATGACCCCCTTCTCCCTCACCCCCACTTCCACTCGGGTGCATGTCCGCTTGCAGAGCTCCCCGGCGAGGGCCAGCTGAAGCTGGTGGGCAGTGACACGCCGGGCCGCGGCACGCTGCTGGTGTACCACGCGGGTGCCTGGGGGGCCATCTCTTCCAGCTTGGACTGGCAGGCGGCGCGGGTGGTGTGTCGGCAGCTGGGCTGGGCCAGCGGCGACCCCGTGACGAGCTCCAAGTACGGCAGTGCCTCGGGGCGGCTGCTGCGGACGTCGCTGCAGTGCGCGTGGGACAGCCCCAGCCTGTTCGAGTGCCCCAGGAGCTCAGACTTCGAGGTGGGGCGCGGGCAGTGAGGGGGGAGTTAGGGCTTGGAGGGGAGGTTGGGGAGGATTGGGGGTTGGGGCATGGTGGTAGACGGGGGGGATCTTCCCTAGGGCCAGTTGTTGTTGAGTGCTAAGCTGTGCTGCCACCCTTCCCATGTCCTTGTCGTCTAGTTTGCCACTGCCATTCAACAGGGTATGTTTTCCCTCCAGGACGATGGCCTCATCCCCAACGACTACCCCTGGCTGGCAGGCGTGGAGTGCTACAACGGTGAGGGGCCGGGGGTACGGCAGCGGGAGGCCGGGTAGGGAGGCGACTGCATGGCTAATGCAGGCTTGTGAGTACACCCGCCTTTGGGGGGCGGTAGCAAACTGGCCACTCCTACCTTTCCACCGTGCCTTCTTCCCACCAGCGTGCTTGCCCCAGCCTTTCTGCCTACCTTCCCTTCCGCTCCTCCTCTTCCCTCGCTGCCCCTCCCTCCCTTAAGCTACGGTTAGGGTCAGTGTTTCCGCGGCTTAGCTTACCTAGTCCCTCCCTCGCTGCCCTCCCTCCCAGAGACGGAGGCTGTGCGCCTGATGAGCGGCGGCCTGGACTCCCGCGCCAACGGCAGCGGGGTGGTGCAGGTGCTGTACAGGGGCGTGTGGGGCGCAGTGGAGCATAGCTACTGGGACTGGCGCGACGCGCGGGTGGCCTGCAGGCAGCTGGGCTGGACCACCGGCTACCCGGTGCAGGGGGCGGGGGCGGTGTACGGCATCCCACCGGGATCAGTGTACGGCGTGGGGTACGGCTGCGTGTGGAATGAGAGCAGCCTGGGGGAGTGCAACCGGAACAACAACCTTGATGTGTACACCACCGACAGCACCGGCCTCACATCGCTGGCAGGAGTGCAATGCGTCAATGGTGGGGAGGGGGGAGGCCAGGGGAGGGGATGGTGAGGGAGGGAGGGCTGTAGGAGGAAGGTTTGTCGAAGCAAGGCCTGTGGTTGCCATTTGGAGAGCGGTAGGTAAGGAATTTGCACTCGGGGCCGGGTTGCACAGGCGGGTATGCAAATGCCTAAACGGGGAAGGGGCTCCACACAACGCTGCTGGTGATGTGCAGAAGAGCATGGCTGTGAAGGCTACAAATAGCGCCTCCCTTGCCCCAGTCTCCCGCTTTCTCCCCTTTACCCCTCCGCGTTCGCCTCCCTCTACCTGCTCCATATCCTCCGTATCCTACTCCTGGTCCTGCTGCCCGGCGCTCAGAAACGGATGGGCCCGAGGGTGCACTGCGACTCACGGCCGGCCCCACCGCACTGTCCGGCACCGTGGAGGTGAGGAGTCGGGACTGCAGGACGACAGTGAGGGGGCTGCTCGTTATGGACAGGAATCAACGGAAACGGTGTTTGGCATGTGGGGATACGGGTTGAATTCTTGTTTGCTAGTATGGCGTCGCATGTTGCATCTTTTGGTGGCTTGCCCGTGACTAGCCTGCAAGGGCTGTTGTGTTACCCGTTGGCTCATCTTCCCTTTGCAAGACGGCTTAATACTAGCCCGATCCTGGTCAGGCCTGCTCACTTCCCTCCTGTCCCCTCCCCCGTTTCCCCAGATCTGGTATAACGGCAGCTGGGGCTCCGTCTACCAGTCCCGTTCCTGGGACTGGCGCGCGGCCCGGGTGGCGTGCCGGCAGCTGGGCTTCCTCAGCGGCAAGCCGGTCTTTAACGCGGTGTACGGCAAGAGCAGGGGTGAGGAGCGGGGAAAATTATAAATAAGTGCAACAACACAATCCCAATCCCGAATCCCGACTCATGCAGTGAGCGCATTCGGAGACACTAATCTAGAAACACGCATCTCAGAGACTTACCAATTGCTTACCAGAAACCGAGATGACTTGGGGAAGAAGCCGCCTTGCATATGAACACTAGTAAGGCATGTGCCTCGCCGCCAGCCACTAATCCTAAGGCAACAGGGCTATTGGGCATACAAGCAGATAAGTCTGCGAGACGCGTTACGGGAAACTTACCTGGAGAGAGGACCCGAAGGAACATGGCCACGGGTACAAGGAGTGTAGACGCAGGCCAGCAATGCCACAGCAGGGCATGGTCCATCGCCGAGCGGAAACAGGAGAAGAGGTTGTCAATATGCAAGAAGAGGGAAAATAGAGCAGGGCGCGTCAACGGAATGTTAAGTAGGAGATGCGCGACGGCATTGGAAACAAGGCAGGTCAGTATGGCTAGGGCATCCTATAGACACGGCGGCGCGGCATTGTAAAGGAAGGAGTGGTGGTGGGATGGTCATTAACATGGAAGGGAAGGTTGGGAGTACGGCACGACAACGGGGGCGACAATTACGTGAACATGTCGGATAGCAACCCGGGGGGTGTGGCAGGAAAGGCAGTTATGGCAACAGCGAGGAGCGGGGGGGTGGGGTTAAGCGGGGCCGCAGGGTTGGCGGTATTGAACGGAAACGTGCACCTGTGAGGCAGGACCGTGTCGCCCTAGGCCGGCCCGTACCCCGTTCGGTGCTTTGCAGCCTTATTTTACTGCTACGGCGAGCAGCACTTTAAAGGCCGAGCATTCTCGCCATACTCTCATGCCACACTGTTCACTTCGCTTTTACGGTACATTTGTTTGTCAGCCCTTCTTCCACCCTTCGTGCCCGCGACGCTCTCGGATTTGGATCGGACTTGATGTATGTTAATGCTCACGCCGCCGCGCCCGCCTACAGGCCCTGTGTGGCTGACCGAGGTGGTCTGCAATGGCACGGAGGCGCGGCTGACGGACTGTCAGCGGGGGAAATTCGGTGATTACCAATACTGGGGCGGCCACGACGGGGACGCGGGGGTGGAGTGCAACAACGGTGAGGGGGGGGGTGCTGGGGCGAGTGGCTTGGATGGGCTTTTGGACGAGACGGGGGTGGGCGTGCGGAGGTTGTGCGGGTTGCGGGATGCTGCGTTGGGAGGGGCGTCACGGCGGCTGTGGTGGTGGTGATACCGGCCCGTTGGTCCACTACCGCCAACAGGAACGGCGGCTCCGTCCACTGGGAGGATAGCCAAAGCGCGTGATAGTAAAGCTACCCAGCACGGAGGCACAACCGCTCTCAACTCGCACCACCCCATACCACAGCGCGTTCACCTGCCCTCCCTGTTGCAGCTCCTGTAGCCCCTGTCTCGCACCACCCCCTGCCGTCTGCCACCTGTCGGTAGTCGCCTGACAGTCCGGTGGTGTGCAGGTTGGACTTGGTGAGTTGAGAGCTCACATGGGAACCCACGTTCCTCGTTCTTTGCCCCCTACCCTACCTCCGCCCGCAGATCCAGACCCCGAGGAAGGCGAGTTGCGGCTGGCAGGCGGAGCCACCGCCAACACTGGCCAGGTGGGGTGTAGCTAGGGGGCGGGGAACTCGAACACGCGCCCGTGCTACCAGAAACTCACATGTCGCCAACACCACCATCATCACAACCCGCATGCTTGCGGTGTCCCCGACCCCCACTTCCTCCGCCCTTTCTGTTTGCTGCCGGCGCTGCTCTCCGTTTCGACACGTACCTAACCCCTATCCCAATCCCTGCCTGTCTGTCCTATTGCTTCCTGCCTTGCTGCTTTTCCCGCAGGTGGAGGTGTTTTACAACGGCAGCTGGGGAGCCGTTTGCGGAAACATCTTCAAAGTGTACGAGGCGGCAGTGGTGTGCAGGCAGCTGGGCTACCGCGGCACCCCCCGTGTGGAGCCGCTCCTGCCCGGCCGCCAGCGCCCCGCATTTGTTGCCTGGCAGCTGGCGCCCGCCTGGCTGGCCAACCTGCACTGCGTCGGCAACGAGAGCCGCTTGATGGACTGCCCGGGGGCCGAGACGCCGGGGCAGACCTGGGGCTGCAGCGCGGGCGCGGGAGTGACGTGCGGCCTGGGTGGGTGCAGGTTTGGCGCGGTGGGGTGGGGTGAGGTGCGGTGGAGGGTGGAACGGTGTCTCTGTTGTAATTACCATGCTCGTCCCCACTCCTCAGTACCACTTCTCATCACCAACTACAGCGTACAAGGACCACCGCTTCTTTTCCCTGCCTGTCTCTCCTTCCCAGACACCCTTCCCCCTGAGGGCTCCCTGCGCCTCATCTCGCCCGAGGGCAACAACAGCCGGGGTCAGCTGCAGCTGCTGCACAACGGAATCTGGGGCGTCATCGATCAAACCGGGTAGGGACGGGGGTAGGGCACAGCTGGGAGAGGAAAACTGGGAAAGCTGGTCAACTGGTGATCTCGGGAGGGGCAGGTGCCGTGAAGCGGGCTGTTTCGAACACGCGAAACATCAAATAGCTCGGCACATGACGTCATACCCGCCGCCTGTCGGTTCCCCAGGTTCGACTGGTACGCGGCCCGGGTGGCGTGTCGGGAGCTGGGCTTCCAAAGCGGCAAGCCCGTGGCTTACAGCGTGTATGGAGGAGGTGAGGCGGAGGGTGGAAGTTGAGAGCCGGCTGCTCACGTGACGCATGCGAGTAGGCGTAGTATGCTTTGAGGAGGAGCTGGTAGGAAGGAGGGTGGATGCGTGCTTTCATGCGGGCGACCGTATGCCGGCCCAGGCGGGGTGGCGGCCTACCCCTACCCTACCGAAACCTGCCCCCTGTCTTCCCTACGTCCTTGACCTCCTTGCACCTATCCCCCGGCCCCCAGGCGAGGATCTGCCCATGTGGCTTGCCAACCTCCAATGCGCTGGCAACGAAAGCAGACTGGTGGATTGCCCTCGCCCCTATCCCTTCCTCGACGACTGGTTTGTCTACCAGGGCAACGAGGGGCATACGGCAGGGGTCATCTGCTCGGCAGGTGCTGAGCTGAGGGTGGTGGGGTGGGGTGGGTGATGAAGATTAGGGTATTGGGCGGGGCAGAGCGGGGCCGTTTCAGCACCGCCGCCGGCCGCCGGGGCAGCACTGGTATCCACACCCTTGTCCGAACCCTCGCCTTCTGTCTGGCGGCTGAACCTGTCTACCTCCTGCCCCTGCCCCTGCCCCTGCCTGCCCACTCCATGCTGACCTCTATACCCAATATACCTGCATACCCGCCCCGCTGCTCATCTTCCTCACCCGCCTCCCTCCCGCCACAGAGCCCAACCCCCCTTCCGGCTCCCTTCGTCTGGTTGAGGGTCCGGCCCCCTGGGCGGGTCGGCTGGAGATGTGGTCCGACGCGGCGGGCGCCTGGGGCACACTGTGCAGCAACGCCTTCACCGACCAGGCCGCGCAGGTGGTGTGTCGGCAACTGGGCTACACGGGCGGCAGGTGAGGCCGGGGTGGGGCTGACTGGGCCTTGGATTGAGGGGCAAGGATGGGGTGGCCGCATCCGGCCAGATCAGCATGAAGGGCAAGCGCGGGGTAACGCGGGACGAGTTAACGAGGGACGATAGAGGGTCACGACGGTAAGGTGCTCCTTTCAGGCATGGTGCGACTGCTCGCAAGCCCCTTCGCTTGCTTTTTCCTCCCTCCGCTCCGCCCCCGCCCCCTCGTTGCAGGGCTGTGGGCATCGGCGCCTTCCACACCGGCGCCAGCAGCGATGTGAGGGGCTCGTACCAGCCCTTCGCGATTAACTCGGTGACGTGCATCGGGGGCGAGGGCGCGCTGACCGAGTGCGCCTACTTTGAGGGCGCCCAGCCGGGCTGCTACTCGGACCACTCCTATGATGCTGCGGTGTGGTGCGATGCGCCCGGGACAGGTGGGGTGTTTGGGAGGTGGGGGGATGCCGCGGGGTGGGTGGGTGCGCGGTAGCATGGGGGGTTCCTGAAGGAGGTTTGGGTTAGTAGAGTGGATCCAATGAGGCGCTACGGGGGCGTGCTGTTCAGACTACTGGTACGACTCATGTAACTGTGCTGCCATTGCTGCCCGCTGCAGGCCATGTCACCGCACCTGGCTCAGTGCGGCTGCTGGGCGGTCCAGGGCCCTGGTCGGGCAGAGTAGAGGTCTACTACAACGGGGTAAGGGGGGAGGGTTGGCGGAAGCAGCAAGTGGGAGACTACTGATACCATTCAAGCTTGCCGAGAAGTGTGGGCGGAGGGGGCTGCACAGCTTGGACGCCTGTTATGGGGCTGAAGTGACCCCACCTCCCTAATCCCCACCTCCCTCCCTCCCCTCCTTCCCTCTCCGCCTGCCCACCAGACGTGGGGCTCTGTGTGCAACGGCGACCTCACGGCCTTGGACGCGCAGGTGGGTGGCTGCATTGGTGGGCGCGAGGGCGCCGGGGAAGATAACGACTCTGTTAGGAAATATGCAAGCATGTGCCATAGCTCCATGCTGGCAGCACCTCATTGCACGCCTGCTCTTACGTCGAGCTGAGCCCCCCGTTCCTTACCTTTTTTCACATACCTAATGTTCCCTTCCTCCCTCCCTGACGCCCTCGCACCCCCTATCCCCACCCCAGGTCGTCTGCCGGCAGCTGGGCTACTACGGAGGCCGCGCCGCTCCACACACAACGCTGCAGTACAGCTACGGCTACGACGGCCGCTCCTCCGCCCCCAGCTGGCTGGCCCGCCTCGGCTGCACCGGCAGCGAGACCGCCCTCGTGCAGTGCCCGGGTGTGGGCGGGCTGGGCAATGGCTCCTCGTGGGACCCGCAGTCCTGCGGGCAGTACCACTATTGGTCGGACGCTGCGATCATGTGTAGCACAGCACCGCAGGGTGAGGGCGGAGGGAGGTTGAGGCGAGGAAGAGGGGCAGGGCCGTCTGTCATCAGCTCCTAAATGTGAAACGGCGTCCAACCCCAGCAGCCCCCCCTCAGTGCCTTTCAAGTGTGGTCTTGCCCCTGTGCGCCCCATGCACCCGTTTGGCACGCCATTCCTCCTTCCCTGAATTCACACCTGCCTAACAAACCTCCTCACCTTTCCCCGCCCCTAAACCAGGTGTGCTGCTGGACGCGCCGCTGGACTCCCCGCCTCAGGACTCGGAAAAGCTGGGAAGCCCGTTGCCGGTGAGCGAAGATGCTGGAGGGAGGGAAGGGAGGGAGTGGCACAACACCCTAGAGACGACCTCTCCTACGGTAACTTGTGCGCTGAGCACACACATTTAAAAGAAACACAGTTTGCAGCAGCATGCATGGCTTGCTTCGGCCCACTGCCTCCCATTACCCTCCCTCCCCTTTCCCCTTCTGTAGAGCCGCCTTGTCTGCCCTGACGATTCCCTGCCCGGCGGCCTAGCCTTGCAAGTCGACATGCCTCCCTTCGAAGGCAATGAAGCCGAGAGCGCGGGCTTGGTAGGACTGCGCCTGCTCTGCTACCAGGACGGCGCCCTCCTCACCACCCTCACCTCCGGCGAGCCCTACCCCTGGTCCAACACCGCCACTTGGAGCAACAGCTCCTGCACGCGCGACCCGGCCACTGGTGTGATGCCATACATCACGGCGGCGCGCATTCGGGTGGCGGGCGATGTGAACGACACCGCGAGTGCGGTGGACGCGCTGGGAGTGACGGATGTGGAGTTGCAATGCAGGTGAGGAGGAGGAGCGGTGGAGCTGGAGAGGGGTTCCGCAGAGAGCTACGTCGATCTCTGAATCGTCCTGGCTTCCTGTTTTCTGCTTATCTTCGGCCCTTGTAATTCTTTATCCCCTCCCCCCTGCTTTGCCCTCCTCGTTTACTTCAAACACCACGGCGTCGTGCCCGTGTGCTCCCACTTGCTGACACACTCCACAGCGACGGCCAAGCCCTCTCTGAGATGGGGCTGAGCAACGGCACCTGGGGCGAGTGGGCGACCTGCCCCCAGGGCACAGCGCTGTGCGGGCTGGGGCTGCAGTTCAATGGCTGGCGAGGGCAGGGAATGCAGGTGAGTGCGGAGGCCGGAAGGGGAGAGGGAAGGAGGGAGGAGAGCGACTAGCTGTCGGGCTGAGAGAAGGGCGCGGCGTTGGCTGCCGCTACGGCTGATCCTAATGCGCTCGTCATTTGCTGCAAGGACAAAAAGGGGAGGAGAGTTGCCGTCGTTGGTTGGGAAACCACGGCACACGTGCTGGTGCCCCCCGCAGCACCTGCTGCCCGCCCCTGAGCGCCTTCATCTGCCTTCTCACCTTTACACATCACCATGTTTTTTTCCAATCACGTGCCGGCAAATAAGCTTGCTTCACTCGCGTATGGCCTTATGATTATGCGGTTCCTTAACCCGTTGCAGGGCGCCAATGATGACACCGGGGTCACGGGCCTCAATGTGTCCTGCTGCGCACTGCCCCTTGGTGGGTTGAGGGAGTGATGTAGCAAGAACGGGGCTTTTGGGCGCGCGGATATCCTCTACGCTTTGCATCAAACAGTGGGATAGGGGCCAATGCGGGTACTGGGATGCCATGGCTTGTAAATATGTTTTGAGAGTGCCAATGGAGGGGAAACGCTAGCTTTTTCACGGTTTGCGTAATTGAGCATACCGGTTTGACTGCAACATACCCGGCCCCATGCAGGCTTCAACGCCATATACGGCTCCCGGCGCGTGCGGCTGGCCGGCGGCAGCACGCCCCAGGAGGGCCGCGTGGAGGTGCTCTCACCCGCCGACAACACCACGTGGGGCCTGGTGTACGAGGAAGGCTGGGATGCGCGGGATGCCCATGTCGTCTGCCGCGAGCTTGGCTGGAAGACGGGACGACCCGTGGGTCAGGCGGGAGAGCTGTACGGCCGGGGTCTTGGCCCTCTGCTGTACATTGGCGTGGATTGCAAGGTGGGTGGCTTCAGTGGTAGGGCTGTGTGGCTGGGTTGCTGATGCGGAGTACGTGAAGCAACAGTAACACGAGTTGCCATCGCGGTTAGTGTTATCACTTGTCAAAGCGTTGTTTGCTTGTGTATGTACGCCTCTATTTCAAGCATCCCCGCATGGCCCATGGACGCCAGCTGCCGCTTCCAGTATCACCGCCCTCGCAACTCCATCTTCCGCTCGGGCCCCCGCATCCGCACAGGGCACCGAGTCCAGCCTGGTCAACTGTGCGGTGGGCGATTGGCCCGCACCCGCTGACAACTACCAGCGCGGCTACTCGGCCGGTGTCATTTGCAGCGCAGGTGAGGGTGGGATGGGGTGAAGGGCTACGTGGAAACAGCTAGACCTAGCTTCCTTGTCGCAAGGTGTTTTGCAAAATTGGGTTTCTCTTGTAACGGTGCTGGTGGGCGTTGTGTAACGCGCTGTTGTCGCGACAACAGCCCGTGCCCTTCCGTCCTAATCCTGAAATGCCTCCTCCTCCACCCCCAACCCCTCCCCCAGACCCTCCTCCTAATATGGGCACTGCCCGCCTGGTTGACATCCCGGGCGGCCAGGACCCTTTGTCCGGGGTTGCGGGCCGTGTGGAGGTGTATTGGAACTACAGCTGGGGTGCCGTCAGCATGGGCAGCACCTGGGACAACAAGGCGGCAACGGTGGTGTGCAGGTGGGTTGGAACGGGGGGAGTAGGCAAACTGAGCTGCGACAAATCTTGACCGTGATGACCGTAGCATGACACAAAAGATGATGGTGATGTCACTGATGCCAAAAAGGGGGAAGGATGGGTGAAGTGGGGCGGCTTGCGATGCATCTGGGGGAGTAGAGGACTTGGTACGGCTTTTGTCCTGGCAAGTCCTGGCAGTCCTGGCAGCTGCATAAGCACAACGGCTTCATCTCAAGCATACCGCAACTGCCGCTCCATCTTCCTTCTACTCTCTTTCTCTGGAGCACCGACACCCTGCTCTACCCCGCTCCCATCTCCCGCATGCGCAGGTCGCTGGGTCACCGCTGGGGCCGCGCAGTCCCCGCCCGCGACCTGGTTCCCAAGCCCGGCTACCCGCTCCCCGTGGTGGCTAGCAGTGTGGACTGCAAGGGGGACGAGGCGTCCTTGCTGCTGTGTGCCACGGAAGGCGGCTTCCAGACCACCTTCGACACCTACTCGCGCTACTACGACGCGGGCGCCATCTGCACGAACGGTGAGGAGGTGATGAGCAAGCAGCACAGGTGGCAAGGTCGGCAGTGCTGTTGGAGTGAGCCGATGCACCCCATGTTTGCGGCCCTCTGCTTTGCCGTAATTCCCGGCTATCGTCCTTCCTGACTTGGCTGCTTGCTGTTTTCAATATAAGCAATGTGCAATGTGCATGTCTAATATCCCCAATCCAGCTCTTGGCACCCCTCGGCCTGCCATGCAACCCTTTCTCCCGTGCAACCATCCGCAGACACGATACCAACATCTGGCTCGTTGCGTCTGTGCTACGGTGCCACCCCCGCGGAGGGCCGCCTGGAGGTGTTCCTCAACCTCACCTGGGGCCGCGTGGCCACCTCCGGCGGGAGTTGGCCCTACTTCTTCGACCATGCAGACGCGCGGGTGGCGTGCCGGCAGCTGGGCTACAGGGGGGGAGGCTGGGCGGTCAACGGTGCCGGCTGGAGCGGTACGAACGAGGGCCCAATATGGCTGAGCGGTCTGACGTGTGCGGGCAATGAGACGTCGCTGCTGGGCTGCCTGCCGGGCAGCAACAACAATACCTGGTTCCGACACGATGCGTGGTGGCTGGGATCGGCGGGAGCGATCTGCAAGCAGGGTGAGTGGAGCGGGGAGGGAGGAAGGGTGTGAGAGGGTTGGTTGGGGTGGAGATAACGGGGAAAGGGGCCAGGGAGGAGGGCAGCTGTACGGGCGTGTCGGCTGATCGGAATAACTTTTCAAGATGGAATCCGTGGTGCAGGCGTCTCCTTGCGGTCAGACCGCATTCAAACTGATGCCACCCTCCAACAACGTCCCCACTTCCCTCCCCTTTCACGACCTATCCAATTGTAAGCCTCGTCGTTTTCCAGCCCCGGCTTCCCCCGTTTACCTCCCCTCCCAACCCGCCTAACCCCCGGGCCCCGCAGACGACCCGGCCGACGGCACCCTGCGGCTGGTGGGCAGCAGCCCCTCCGCGGGTCGGCTGGAGGTGGCGGTGGGCGGCATGTGGGGCACGGTGGACCCCACTGGCTGGGGCTGGGCGGAGTCGCTGGTGGCGTGCAGGGCGCTGGGCTTCAAGAGTAGGTGGCCTGCTGGGGCCTGACGGTGGCGCGGGACGAGGTGGCCACTCATTTGTGTACGGGGCCCCACAACGCGCACTTTGGCTTAGTGCGGCCGGCCTGAGCAGTACGTTGTTAGGCCTTGCATCGCAACCCGCCTACAGCTCATCTCTTGACCACCGTCACCCCCTACCCCCTCTTGGACACACAGGCGCCCTGGACATGGGCTCCGGTGTGGGCGAGGTGCCGCAGACCGGCACCACCACCACCTCCTTCTTCCTGCCCGTGTGGCTCTCAGGCGTCAAGTGCAACGGCTCCGAAACCTCCCTGGCCTCCTGCCAGGGCGGCACCTCGTACGGGCCCCCCTCGGGAATGACCTACGGCCAACCCAACTCCTACGGCCGGCTGCTGCTGCGCTGCTCTCAGCAGGAGCCTCCCGCACCGCTGTCCGTGCGGCTGACGGGCAGCCCCGTGCCGTACATGGGCCGCCTGGAGGTACGGAAGGGTTCAGGATGCATGAGCACGTGCATGGGTTCATGGGGTTGCCGCAACACCCAGTTTGGTCGCAGGTCACTTCCAAGCGATCGCCTTTCGCCGGTGTGCAGTTGTCTTGACGGAGCCACTTACTCATGCAGCCCTCTGTGTCCATGTCTCAGCCCAAACACCATACGTTCCCTCTCCTGTTCACGTCCCGCGCAGGTGTACTGGGCGGGCTCCTGGGGCACCATCTCACGCTCCACGTACTACGGCGGCTTTGATGCTAGCTTTGGAGCCGTGGAGGCGGCGGTGACGTGCCGCATGTTGGGTAGGCGGCGGGCCGGGCCACTGGGCCGGGCCAGGTGGATGTGATATTACCGTTGGCTGCGGATTCTAGTATAACCCTGCAAAGGCAACAATGATGATGTAGTGTTGTGGTGGTGTGGGTGAGGTGCGTGGGGCTGTTCATCTAGCACGTTGCGTGTCGCATCAACATCCTGTCCGCATGGGAAGCCCGGCTCGGTCTGTTGTGGGCAGCCCCGTTGACCGGGGGTGTTGCCGTGGCGACGACCTGCCAGCGCAACGCGCGTGGGTTCCCGCCGCTCCATGTGCTCCTTGCACGCCCCTACGACCCGCCTTACGCTTTTTTCTCGGCATTACCGGTATGGCCCACGGATCCAACCTCATTCTTCCTCCCCCTCTCGTCCTCCAGGCTATGAGCCGCTTCACGGCAACACCTCCGACGTGCTGCGTGGGGACAGCTTTGGGGTGAGTGTGGTAGTTCGGTTGGGGAGTCCGGAAAAGTGGAGGTATTAAGGCGACAAACATGTTGTGGATGGTCCTGGGGTGCCAGGGTTGGGGTTAAAGGAGCGCCTTCCATTAGTTCGAACCAAACCAGCGGCTTGCCCTATTCGTCTCTACCACTATCTTTCCCTTGAGGGTTCCCACTCCAAAATGTGCCTTTGGACTTGGCTGACTGGCGGCTGCTACGGCTGATTCTTACTCTTTAGTAACCCCTGATCGCCCCCCTTTGCCTCACATACCGCAGGAGCCGTACTCCCTGATCCCCGTGCACTACCAGCCATTCGCCTGCAGCGGCATAGAGAAGTCCCTGTGGGACTGTCCGGGCTACGCAGGGCCCACGAACCACACGAGACTGGGTGTCCTCAACGGTGCATATTGGACCGAGTCGGAATCACACAGCTACGACGCGGGCCTGGCTTGCAAGCCGCCACCCAACGGTGCGTGGCAGGGTGCCTGATTATTGCGGGCGATGTGCCATGTGTTGGGTGCATTGCTGCGCTTATCACCGGAATACGTGTGGCTTGTCTCATGTGATGCCCTAGCTCCTCCTCCCTGAGCTGTCCTGCTGCCCCAATGCCTTACCCCAGATCCGGTGCGGTACTCACCGCCACCCCGGCCGCCTCCGGGACCTCCCTCCCCGCCCAAGCCCTCCCCTCCATCGCCTTCGCCTAGCCTTCCTCTCAGCCCACCCAGCCCTCCGTCAGGCCCTCTTCCCCCGCCACCTTCCAGCCCCCAGCCTCCCTCGCCCCCCCGACCTCCACGCCAGCCTCCCAGTCCACCCCAATGTGAGTACGCTCACAGCCCTTGCCTGTGAAGCTAAGCCGGATAGACAGCCCTTCCCAGCTGCTGCTGGTTGTATCGTGGCTAGTCCCTCCATCTTTCCGCTGTTTGCTGCGGGCACTGCTTTATTTACCCGGCAAGCCCGTCGTGCCCCATACGAGTTGTCAACCACCAGCCCACATACCCTTTACCAGGCTTGCTCCTCGCTGGCTGACATCCGTGTCGTTGTTTCCCCTCCCTTTTCATGCCCCCCCTCCCCCTCCACAGCCCCTCCGCAGCCCAGCCCGCCTCCTCCCCCTCCCAGCCCGCCTCCCTCCCCGCCCGCCCCGCCTCCCCCGCCCCCGGCCTTCGAGGTGCTGTCCGTGTCCCCCGGCCTGCTGCCGCTGGCGGGCGGCACCCTCACTGTGGCGGGCCGCTTCGAGGTGTGGCCGTCGGAGGAGCTGGTGACGTTCACCTGCGTGTTCGCCCTGACGGATGCCTCCGGGGGCATCAGGGCGGTGACCTCCAACTACACGGTAGGGAAGGGGCGGAGCCATGGCTTGGTACAGGGACAGCGGACATCAATACTGCCGCGACAGCAGCTGCTACGTGCGCGTGTAGTTGCTTGTTGAGGTCCTCCTCGCACCGCACGCCTGCAGACGGGCCACACGACGATACGGGCTGAACCCGGTCAGATGGTTCGTCTGCAGCACCTGACACCATTCAGCCCGCTTTTGTTGGCATTCTCGTGCTCTCTATGCTACCTTTCCTCACGTATGTGCCACCTCATCCCTTTCCTCCTCTCCCTCTCTTGTTCCTTCCGCAGGCGGAGCGCCCCTCCGTGTCCGCCCTCCTCTGCCCCACCCCGGTGGCTCGCAGCTCCGCCGCCTACCTGCAGCTCAGCATCGCCCGCAGCCCCGCGCGACCCGGCATGGGGGAGCTGCAGGAGGTGGTGGCCTACCCGGAGGTCGTCAGGTACTACGCGCCCTGCCCCGCCGACTGCAATGACCACGGCAGCTGCCGACTGGGCGTGTGCAGCTGCAGCGAGGGCTGGACCGGGAAGGACTGCGGCACACCGGTACCGGTCTTCGCCATTATCGGCCTACAGAGTGAGTAGGCATGGCTGGGGAGGCGTGCGGCACGATGGAGGGTTCGCAGGCTCCAGCATTGCCAAGCTACCGGTATTGCATAGGCTTAAGTTGACTAGATCCCACCTCTTGCAGGCCGCTACGGCGTGACCAATGGCCCCGACATCTACCGATACCTTATCACTCCCAACACGGCCCCGCCCCTTGTTTCCCAGCCCTACCTCCTATGATCAATCTCTCTTTGACTGCCCTCCTTACAGACGGCCCCAGCAACGGCGGGCGACAGGTGCTGATGGAGCAATCCCCCTGGACCGCCCAGCCCCTCCTCGCCAACCCCATCCCCGCCACCTGGCTCCTCTCAACCGACCTGCCCGGCATCACCATCAACCCTACAACCGGCCAGTTAGACTGGCCTGCTGCGGTCGCCCCCGACACCTCCGCATCGTCCCACCTGGTCGCCCTCACCGCGGTGTCTTACGCCGGAAAGATGGCGACCTACAGCTTCTACATCTCTGTCGTACCGTCTTACGGCATCAGGGAGCTAAGGCTGCCGGGCGGCTCGAGGGCGGCTCCAGGCAGCCGGATTGCCATCCTGGGCCGTCTGGGCTGGAGCCAGGCGGCGATTGCTGCAGGAACAGGTGGGATGCTGAAGGCATATTAGTCAAGATATGTCACCGCGTTTGCCTCCCGTTGCATGTGCAGCTGCCGGCCAACTAGTTAATGCCTGCATGCCTCACCATGGCCCTCTTCTTCTCGCTATCCGTTATGACAAGAGTTGTATCCTTTTTCTATTTGCTTTCTTTAATGAGCCTATCCTCCCACTCCTCTATCCTCCATCCACAGATGCCAGCAGCTCGCTCCCCTCCCTGCCAGTGCTGGTGCTGGTGCGCCAGACCTCCCAGCTGGGCTCCTCCTCTTCCTCCAGCAGTGGCTTCCAGGTGCTGCGGACCAACAGCAGCTCGGCTGACGGCGCATTCACGCTGGAGCTGCTAGTGCCGCAGAGCAGCATGGGGTGAGGCAGGGAGGAGGTACCGGTATTGGCAACGACTGACGTCGTATTCAAAGGGCCTGGCGTGGCTACTGGCTAGCAGGGCTGATGGTTGAGGCTTCTTACTGGGATGCAGTCATGGCACGATATCATGGTTCCTACGGCAACGTCATGTTGCGCAGATTTCCTCCTGCCTATCACTCCCTTGGCTTCCCCTCCATGCCGCACGCAGCTCCCTGGACGTCTTCGCGCTGCACCCCGCCGCCACCCTGGACGACACCGCCCCCTCGCCCTCCCCCGCGGACGACCTACCCCTCTTCCAGCGCCGCACGCAGCTGTCCGTGCCCTTCGTCGCCGCCGCCATCAACCGGGACGCGGGCAACACCAGCAGCCAGCTGGACCCGCGGTTCGCCCAGCCCACCCTGTCGCTGGGTCCAGGCAGCAGTGCGCAGCTGGGGGAGTTTGCGCGCCTAGTAGGCTCTCTCGAGGTAATCAAGTTGGAATGGAGGGAGGGAGGTGGTGTTGTAAGTGGGTCAAAGCGGTGGGGCTGAAGGGGGCCAAGTGGTGGCAATCTTGACCCGCTAACCATTCACCGTTGCCCCTCGTCTGGCCCTGCCTCCAGGACCTGACCTCCCTGGCCGTCACTGTGCGCACCCGCCTGGTCTCCTTCTCCGGACTTCCGCCCAGCCTCACAGTCAACGCCACCCTCGCAGCGCCTCCCGCGCCCCTCTGCACCTCCAACTCGTCCTCCAACTCCTCCAGCCCGGCCATCTGCCAGGATGTGCAGGACGCCACTGCCAGCTCGGCCCCCGGCAGTGCGGCGCTGCAGCTGCAGGTGGCGTCGGCGCTGGTGCCGGGTTCCGGAGCGGCGGAGCTGGAGGTGAGGCTGTGGGGTTGTCAGTCGGGTGGGGTACTGAAGTGCCATGATGGACTCTTGGTTTGCATCGCCTTGGCCACTGTCTGCGTCCTGTACAACATAGTGCATGTTCCCACCATTGCAGTTCCCTGCATGCGCCCCTCCCCATATCATGCCTTAAGCTACCGGTATTATGTGCCCCACCTAGCCCTGTCCCCTTTGCCTGACTCCCCCACTACTGCCGCCAGCTTGTGTTCACCCTGCGCGGCGGAGTGAGCAACGCCACCACCACCCTGCTGCTGCGGGTGCTGGTGGACTCGGCGCGGGTGGAGTTGGTGGCCGACCCGGCGGGTCGCTTGTCCGTGGTGCTGCCGCCCAGGGGTGGTACCAATTTGCACCTCACAATCACCAACAACGGCAACATTGCTTCAGGGTAAGGCTCGGGCTCCAGAGGTCTTTGTGCCCTTGTGTGTTGGTGCACCATGCGTTCAGTGCATGAAAGCTGTAGGATCCCCCCCCAACTATCAAGTTATGCCATGCTTCCGGTACAGTTGCACCAGGCGTTGTCGCACCGTATCCTCCCAGGTCGTAGATGTTTTACCCATTCCTCCATTGCTTACTTGTCTCCGTCGCTCTTCCCTCCCCCGCTCCCTTCTCTCCCGACCCTCTCTCATGCCCACATTCGCAGGCCTTTGCAGCTGCCCGCCATGCCCGCCGGCGGCTCTTGGCTCAGCCCCACCACCCCCCTGCCCCTTGCCTCCCTCGACCCCGGGGCCTCTGCCTCCCTAGAATTCTGGGTGGCCGTGCCATCGACCGCTCACCTGGGCGACTCCTTCACCGTCAGCACCACCCTCTACAGCAGCGTGACCCCCGGGTCGGTGCCGCTGTCTTTCGAGCTGGCAGTCGCCTCGGAGCCGCTGGGCAACCTGGAGGTGACGGTGGTGGACGAGTACACCACCTACGACCCCGCGCAGCCCCGGGTTGCTGGGGCCCGCTTGGTGGTGTGGTCGCAGGACGGCAGCACCATGATTGCCAGCGGCATGGTGGGTTGGGAGGCTAGGGGAGACATGCCGATGTGCATGTGTCATTGGATGGTTTACAACCTGCTTATTGGCTGGATTCCTGGGTCCCTGCCGCTCGCTTTTGAATAACCCTGTAACCTTAATGTTTAATCGCAGACGGGTGCTAACGGCACGTTCACGTTTGCTAACCTGACGGCGGGCTACACGTACGCGGTGGACGCCTTCGCCGCAAACCACACCTCCGCCCGCCGCACCGTCACCATCACAGGTGGGTTTTCTTATCACAGGTGGGTTCACTAAGCAGTTGTAAACCATTTCTGTGATGGGCGGAGTCAAGAGGTTCATAGCTATATATTAATCACGGTTGTGTGGGTGGATCAGCAACGCTCTCACCGATGCTGAGCGTGATACGCGGTCCATCCCTTTTCCATGATTCCTTTCCGCCCTCATTACCTTTCCCGAGTGCAGGCGGTGCTCGCAGCCTGCGTATCTTCCTGTCCCGCAGCGCCGTGCGCGCCTCCTTCGCCGTCATCCCCACCTCCTTCCAAGAGGTGGTCGACATTGTGGTCAACGTTGAGTACCTCACCTTCGTGAGTGGGGTTGGGGGTGGGTGTGCTGGGAGCTTGTATGGACCATGGAGCAGTTGTCTTGCTGGGAGCCACATTGGCGTGTAAGATGCAGGCTAAAGACTGTTTGATGTGCTACCGAAGCAGTGGTGGTGGTTTTGCTTCTCATGCGTGGGGCCCATTTAGTCATGCATGTGCCCTTCTATGTTGCTGCTCAGGTGCCTATGCCGGTGGTCCGGGTGGAGCCACCTCTGCTGTAAGTGATGAGGGGGGAAGGCAAGGCATGAAGGTGGGCTGTAGTCGGGGGCGGTTGGGATAGCACTAAGCAAGTCCACGCTGTACTGCATCGCTTTGGCCGCCAGCTTGGATTGCGCATGCTAGGCCCGGAGCACTTTTATGTCCTACATCCCGTGGTCACCCTCCGCCTCGCCGGCCGCCCCCCCGCCCCCCTCGTGCTGCAGCTACGTGGAGGACATGCTGGCGTCCCGCACCCTGCAGCTGCGCATCATCAACACGGGGCTGGTGGCAGCGTCCAATGTGCGCCTCAACGTGCCCGTAAACAGCCCGGTGAGCGGGGCGGGGTAGGGAGTGAGGTTGCGGGGGGAAGAGTGTTAGGTCAAACTGGCCGCGAAGAGGAACGTACTTGATTGCCGGAAGATGATGTCCCCACCGAAGCGCCACGGGAAGGGTGTGTGGGTTGGCGGAGGGGCCGCGAAAACGGGAGGAAACATCGGCAAGGTGCTGCTGCAACGCCCTGGGCGCTGCTCCTCTGCTGCATTCGTGCTTATACTCCATCATGAACGATGAGCGGGTTGCTTGGATCGTCATCTCCGTTACAGACCCCTTTGACATGCCCTCTTCCGTCCCGTCTTACCCCTTCTCCTCCCCCGCAGTACTACACACTAGGCTTCCTGGGCGCCCGCTGGCTACAGCAGGAGAACGTCACGATGGACGAGCCCGCCGACATTATGGTGTCATCCTCCGCCACCTCCTTCAACTCCACTGCCGTCATCGACCTCTCCAGCGACAACCTGTACGTGCAGCTGGGCCGCCTGCCCGCCATCAGCACACTGCTGCTGGAGCTGGCGGTGGCGGACAGGAACAAGGGCGGCTCCGGGGCGGGGAACAGCACTGGCGGGACGGTGGACGGCGGCTCCGGGTCGACAGGCGACACCTCCGGGACAGGCGGCGGCTCCGGGGGAGAGGACGGCGGCTCAGGAGGTACTGGAGGCAGCGGCGGGGAGGATGACAGCGGCCCTGACATGTGCGGTTGGTCGGGGCAGTCGGATCTGGCGTGGTGGGACCCTTGCGACCCAGGCGCGGACCGGGGCACCGCCGTGTCCATCATCAGCAGGTATGCTATACCTGGGCCTGCCTGGCCTAACACGTTATAATTGTTGCTTCTAGCGTCAACAGCGCTGCGCGAGGGTCGCAATTTGATTGACCCTTTGCTGCCTCTGGTTTGCCCCTGCACCGCCCCTACACACATCAGGACCTTCAACCCCAAGTGCGTAACGTCATGTTGCGGCAGTAACTTCGTGCGAGATATGACCGATTACAGCAATCCAAGCGGTGGCTCTGAAATTGGACCCAGTACTTCTTCTTCTACTATTATTAATTACAGCGTCCTAAGTGAGTTGGAAAAGGAGCGGCCCCGCCATACAACCGCTGTCTGGCTGCTGTGTGAGGACAAACGCAGGACACATTCACGCCATAACAGACCATGCATGCACCGTAAGAGGCATGCTAGTGCATCAGCTGAGCACTGTGCAGTTCACCTTCACACCTGTAGCAGCGACCCCCCTGACAGTCCCTTGTTGTCCCTGGCCCCCCTAACCCATCTAACCTCGCCACCATGGAACTGTCGGACGTCAGAATGGGGCCTGTGCAACGAGGCAGGTGGCGGGTGGGGTACTGAGCGGGATAGGTCTGGACGGGCCATCCACTGCCGTACATGCACAACGGGCTGTGCTGATGTCCTAACGAAGCTAGCTGGCCTGTGTTTTTACTCGTAAGCCGGCCACTTGCTAACACTTCCTCCATCCAGATGGCGATTCCTGGGCAACCACTAGCATACCCGCTCCGGGTAGCATGCTACCGCTGTGCTGCAGCTTTCTCGATGTTATACCACAATTATCGCAATACTGTGGCTCATTGCATCCGCCGCTTGCAGATTCCATCTTATCTCTTCTACCTCTCTCTCCCCACTCCTCCTCCTTGCAGTGTGCTACTCACTGGTTTGATGTGGGCTTGTGTCTGGCTAAGGACGTTATCGCCCCCTGGAGCAAACCCGCGGGCCAATTCATCGATATTATCCGCCGTGTATATAGCGTGATGATTAAGGTACGGCACATGCCCCATGTACGATGATTACAACACGCGGGCTTATCCCAACGAAGAGGGAGATGTGGATGTGACTGTGGCACGGGGCACACTTGTTAACCTGAAGTGTGTAAATGCCCCGTGGGAAGAGTGGTTCGCTTTCATCCGGGCCAAGCACGGTTAGGTGTTTGCCCTCCCCTCTCCAAACACAACATGCTGCCACATGCACGGGCCCACATGCTCGCAGGCCGGCGCTGTCCGGCGCTCGTTGTTTGAGACGAGTGCAGGTGTGGGTGCTCTTGAGGGAAACTCCCAGCTGCCCTCGCCTGCGCTGCCCGGAAAGCACTCGTCCCCACTCCTGGCCATCGCCCATACACCTGCTGCTACCACTGCTCCGGTTGCCAGGGAGGGCGCGGCTCAGGTTGCCGATCAGAAGCAACAACGCAGCCTGATTGAGTTGTCGAAGATGCAGCGACTGTGGGATGAGGACGGTGACAACGACTCTCCAGTCGTCGTCCAGGCGGCTGTGTACGACCAGTTGGAGGAAGGGAGCGACCCGTGGGTCACCCGCCGGTCACTCCTAGACATCCCTGGAATCCCCGGCGGCTTGTCAGGCCCATCAGAAATGATTGTGGTACGTAGGCTGCAAAAAATAATAGTTGTTTTGACATGCTCAGAGAGGGCGGACCCATCTGGCTGCCTGGCAGTTCGTTATACTTTTACTAACTGCCCTGAGCTCCCAAACTTACCTACCGGAATCCATTTTTTCCTTTTCTCCCGTGCCTTCCCTTGACTTACTCAACGCCTCTTAACTACTACCCCCGCCATCTCTGCATGTGATGTCGCCTCGCCTGTACGGCAATAACCGACACTTCAGGATATCATCAAGGACAAGGTAGGGTTGTATCATAAGAGTAAATCATAAACCTCGGGTGTTCATTTTTAGGTTCATTAGTTTTGTGAGGGCTCGATTGGGGTGTCGATTGGGGTGTAGAAAGCCGATACTTACACGTGAACAGTAATTACCCCTCGTTGAGGTGCTGTTGTTGCATGTGTCACAAATGGCTGACTGCATACCGGCGTTTCGGTGCTGGTTTCCAAGGCCATACAAGCATTCCTATCTTCCCTATCCTTCCGGCTTCCCCTCAGACTATCGGCAAGTTGCCGTACATTGGCTGCCTGCTGGACCCGGTGCTGGACTGTTTTGGCTTCTGGGATTTCCTACGTGAGAGGGCGGTCGGGGAAAGGGGTGTCGGACTGGAGAGGAGAGGGAGGCTCAACTGGCTGGGCCTTCTTTATAAGGCGGAGATACACGTTGATTGGGGGCAGGGAGTGCGCCTCACAAGATGTCCCCTCTCCCTCACCTCTCTCTTCTTACCCCGCCTTGCCTTACGTGCGCTTCCTCCCCTCTCCTCTTCCTCTTCCTGCTGCGTACAGAGGACAAGTCGGTGATGTGTTTTCGGCCCTTGGCGACTTTGCTGCTTCACAAGGCATACCTATCCCGACAACTGGGTGAGTTAGCGAACCCTTACCTGGGATTTCTATGTTCTCCTACCTAGGGCAGTGAGCAAGTTGTACAATACTGTGGATCAGGAGTGTTGGCCACAGTGGATGAGGTTTAAGAACGCATGGCCCGTGTATCCGTCAACTTCCTACATGTGAACGCAAGCACTGTGTTGAGCCACAGCACGTTGTGAAGTTAAAGTGGTCCCTTCCTCTCCTTCTCTTTCCCTCTTCACTCCCGCACAGGCATCACCGACGCAGTCTATCGGCGGACCCCTCCTCCTCCTCCGGCGCCGGGTGTTCCCGCAGCCCCGCCACCACCCTGCAGCCGCTGGCGCCCGCCCTCGTCATCCCGCTGGATGTCGCCCTCAGGCCGCCATCCCCTCTGGAGGCGCTGGGGGTGCAGACTACTGCTGCAATCAACTCCACCTCCTCCTCAACTGAGAACGCCAGCGCGCGCCGCCGCCTGCAGAACGGTGGCTCACTGTACGTGCCGCCTGAGCAGCGCCAGAGCCACATCATGGAGAGCCCCGCAGGTGCAGGAAGGGGCGGGAGGGGGCCCAGGTGCTCTTGACTGCCATGCGGGTACTGTACGCATGTCAGGATGGAGCGGGTGGCATCATGGGCAGGGGCGGGACGGCTATTTATCAGCATATGTGTGAACCTAGTCTTGATAGGATGTGGATGCATGCAGTGGAGACATGTGCGGTCGGGCATTGGGTGTGGGGAACATCTCCGCTGTGGCACCTTGCCAACCTTGTTGCTCCGCCCCGCACCCACCGGCCTGCACCCACCGGCCCTGCAGGCCAGAAGGTCATCCGCTGGGCGGCTGCCATCGTCAACCTGCATGCGGCGGGAGCCGAGATGTGGGGCCTGGAGCACTACATGTGAGCTGAATAGCAGGGACACGACGGGGCAGGAAAACCTCTTCACGAATCGCGATTGCGCATACCTGTTTTGTACACTCTTTGTATTTCAGGCTTAGTTGACCACCTAGAGAGCGGGGAAGGGCGCTGCTGTATGTCATATGGCGATTAGACTGCTCGCCCATGCCGTTACCCCTCATCATGCGATGAAGCAGCAGCCCTCATCCAATCCGCCTCCGCTCCTCCTCCTCCTCCTCCACCTCTGCATACACCCCACCTCCGCCCCGGCCCTCCTTCCAGGGAGTGGATGAACCCCGAGTTCCCTGCCGACGTGGAGGCGCAGTGGCGGGCCGCCTGGGAGGCCGCCACCTCGGACGCCTCCCCCTCCGGGGTTCTGGTGGACTGGGGCGCGGAGGCTCCGCAGCTGCTGGGGGAGCAGTTCGCCCCGCTGGTCAACGCTACCGCACGACAGGCGCTGATCGACAGGTGGGCTCGGCGGCAGGGTGGAGGATGGGGTAAAGAGGAGGATACTAACTAGCCTTGGATGGTAGTCGACCCATCCCGCCTAGCTGGGAGGAGGATGGGGGGTTTGGGGGATGGGGAGGCACGTTTGTTGCGTAGTAAGCGTGCAGGTAGTACGGCGGGTTCACTCTTATTAAGGAACATTGCAGCTGCGCAAAGTGTTTTGCGTTTTGCCCGCGCCCTCGGGACCTTGGCTACGAACCTATCACTCTTTTCAAGTATCGGCCGTAAAAGTCCAAATCTCTTGTTCCCTTCCATGTTGCTGACCCTGCCATAAGGTGGAACGCCACCTTTGCCCAGCAGCCCGGCAGCAGTAACAGCAGCAGCAGCAGCAACAGCTTCCAGCCCGGCACAATCAACCTGGAGCTGGTGCAGCGGGCGCAGCAGACCTACCTGAGCGAGACGCTGGCAGCACTGGACCAAGGATACGCCAGTGAGAGGGGATAACGAAGCAGGGCGTCCAATGCCGTACCCCTCATCGCGTGCTTTCTAATGCGTATGCTGTGTTGCGCTTGTGGCTTCACGATTCTGCATGTGTGGACACACGCCTTAATGCACGACTTTCTTTTTACGAAGCGTGCCTTTGCATAAATGCATGAGAACTAACGATGCCGCCTTGGCCCAACCGCAGCTCACCCTTTCCCACCACCCGTTCCCTCGCAGGTGTGTTTGACGCAATCGACCAGAGTATCAGCACCCTCATCGCGCCCTACGTGGCCGGTACCGCGGGTGGCGGCGCCACGTGCGCGCGTGTGGTGGTGCAGCTGAGCCAGCAGCTGGTGCTGACGCGGCAGGCGTTCGAGGCCTCCCTGGAGCTGGACAACAGCGGCGGCGCCAGCAGCCTGAGCAACGTGACCGTGCATCTGACGGCCTGGGTGAAGGACACCGGGGAGGCGGCCGGGAACGCGTTTGCGGTGGGGCTGCCGACTATTGAGGTGAGGGAGCGGATGGAATAGGTTACGGCCGTTACGTTCAAAGCAGTGGTATCGGTGGCCAAACTGGGCATGTACAGTTGCCGGATAACTAGTTTACCCTGCAATGACTACGCCCCTGAAACGCTCCTTCCCTCATTTCCTTCTAACCCCTCCTCCTCTCAGGGCATGACCACCGACGAGAGCGGCCTGGTGCTCCCCGCTGGCGGTGTGAGCAGCATGCGGTGGCTGCTGGTGCCGCGAGAGGCTGCAGCGCTGCAGGCGGACACATGGTACTACGTTGGAGGCCAGGTCACGTGAGTGGGGGTGGGGTGCGCGGGGTCAGGACGTTCGATGCTTACATGCACTGCTTTTCGTGCTGCGCTCAATCCACCGCTGTGTTTAGTCCCCATGGGTACCTTACATCAACAGTACATTCCTCTGAACCTGCGCGCAGCTACATCCCCGGTCCCGGTCTGCCCGCCGAGGTGCTGCCGCTGGAGCCTGCTGACGTGCGTGTGTCGCCCGAGGGCCGGCTGGAGGTGCGCTACTACATCGAGAAGGACGTGCAGGTGAGGCGGCATGGTGGTTCGTTTGGGTCGGGGACAGGCGGATTGCGGTGCGGTGGGGCAACATCTCGGAAAGGGGGGACAGGCGGGAGCTGGGTTGCGGGGGGATGCAGGGAACGGTGCAGGTGCAGTCCAAGCACCGACCATGGATGTTTTGTGCCGCGTCACAAACATCTGGCAACCGCACCCCCACCCAAGGGTCTTAGCCCGAGGAACTCTCAGCCCAAGGCATAACCTCCTTTACTCATCCCCCTCCCACGTCTTCCCTCCTGCAGGGCGACAACCCCTTCACCCCCGCCGTGGAGCCCAGTGTGCCCGCCGCACTGGTCACCCTGCTGCACAACGTGGGCAGCGGGGTGGCGCGGGGGGTGGCCATGCAGTCGCTGCAGCCCAAGATTGTGGAGAACGACAAGGGCCTCATGATCAGCTTCAACATCGTCAACGTCACCGTTAATGGCCTGCCGGCGCCAGCGTAAGTGCGGGAGATATTGGGAGCAAATGGTCTCGTATAACATGACTCAGTTACGCCTGATGCAAGTAAGTACCCTGAAGGCATTCGAACCGAAGTGCCTCTGCATGACTCTCCCGTTCCCCTCCCTGCCGCCATGCAGTGCTCTCCAGGCGTCAGTGGGCGACATGCAGCCGGGCAGCACGTCCATGGTGCAGTGGTGGATCACCGCATCGCTGCAGGTGAGAGGCGGGAGGGGTAGAGCGGCAAAACCCGCCCGAACAGGAAAGCAAAATGGACAATGGCATTTTACGTAAAGGCGAGCGGTGGCCCCACAAGTATTATTAAAAGGTCTTGATGGCCCGACAGCAGGAGATTGTGCCTTCGTGGGCATCCAAGTCTTTGCTGTATGCCTCTGTGAACAAGCCTTCACCTGGCTTCACAACAAGCCGAGCAAACGCCCCAAGCTCTGTCCTTGTAATTGCACTGCTGGCCGTTGCATCTGGTTGGGGTAGCCTACATGCCGTATCCTCAACACACCTCCCCTTTCTTCCCATCTGCCGCCACTTTCCTGCCGCTGCTACAGGGTACCTTCTCCGGCATCAACGCCACCTTCAGCAGCCGCAACCCGCTCAACGACCCCACCCTCAGCACCGTCACCAACGTCACGCTGTACGACCTGCTGCACCTCGTGCACCTGGGCGGTGGGTTTGATGGGGGAGGGAGGCGTGTGGGTGTGGGTGTTAGAGGTGGGGTGCATACAGGGGTTGGGCTTGCTTAGGAATGGGGTGCACAGGACAGAGTTTTGCATCCACAGTTGAGGAGTGCGGTTTGATACATGCTTGATCCACAACAAACACAACTTCTGTTACGGCCACCTCTCACCTCTTACCTCTCACTCCTTGCCGTGGCTTTCAGTATGAAACCTGCTGGATGCGTACAACAGCATCACGGCCAACATCTGTCCCCTCTCGCACGCGCGCCCCTCTTCCCACAGGCGTCGCTGACGACGGCCTGCCCGACATGCTGGTGTCCGCCCGCCCAAACTCCACCACCCCCGCCGCCATCCACAGCAGCCGCGACGGCGCTATCCTGCCGGTCTCCGTGGTGCCCTCCGCCGCCCTCACCAACATCTCCACCAGCGGCCCCAGCGGCGCCCTCACCCTCACCATCAGGGTGGACGGAACGCAGCTGACAGCGCCGCCTGTGTCGGCTGGCGGCAGCACTGGCAGCGGGTGGCAGTACCTGCGGATCAGCAGCCCCCCGGCCCTGCAGCCCAGCAGCAGCTGGGTGCTGCGGTCCGCCACAGTCGCACCTGCGGGTGTAGGTGTCGCTGTTGCTGCTGCTGTTGGTCAAAGTGGCGGTACGAAGCTGAACCTGCCGTACAATGCATGGGCTTCATATCGCGTGTACGGCTCTGATGCGGCAGCTCAGGATTACGTCCACATCTTGTACGATGGGTACAGCTTGACAGGGGAGACGGTGCTCACGTTGGCGTTTGAGCTGGCAAGTCAACTGCCGTCTGAATCTCAAACGCCCCCTCCCAGCCCTCAAGTCCCTTCCGCAAGCCCTCCGCTTCGTCCTCCCGAACCAGCGCCAACACCCTCTGCAAACCCTCCGCCACCACCTTCGCCCTCCCCTCCGCCACCACCCTCGCCTTCCCCTCCGCCACCACCCTCGCCTCACCCTCCACCACCCTCGCCTCCCTCTCCGCTGCCGCCCTCACCTTCCCCTCCACGACCACCCTCGGCTTCCCCTCCGCCGCCACCCTCGCCCTCCCCTCCGCCGCCACCCTCGCCTTCCTCTCCGCCACCACCTTCGCCTTCCCCTCCGCCACCACCTTCGCCCTCCCCTCCGCCACCACCCTCGCCTTCCCCTCCGCCACCACCCTCGCCTCACCCTCCACCACCCTCGCCTCCCTCTCCGCTGCCGCCCTCACCTTCCCCTCCACGACCACCCTCGGCTTCCCCTCCGCCGCCACCCTCGCCCTCCCCTCCGCCGCCACCCTCGCCTTCCCCTCCGCCACCACCCTCGCCTTCCCCTCCGCCACCACCCTCGCCTTCCCCTCCGCCACCACCCTCGCCCTCCCCTCCGCCACCACCCTCGCCCTCCCCTCCGCCACCACCCTCGCCCTCCCCTCCGCCACCGCCCTCGCCCTCCCCTCCGCCACCGCCCTCGCCCTCCCCTCCGCCACCGCCCTCGCCCTCCCCTCCGCCACCGCCCTCGCCCTCCCCTCCGCCACCGCCCTCGCCCTCCCCTCCGCCGCCGCCCTCGCCTTCCCCTCCGCCGCCACCCTCGCCGTCCCCTCCGCCGCCACCCTCGCCGTCCCCTCCGCCGCCACCCTCGCCCTCCCCTCCGCCGCCACCCTCGCCCTCCCCTCCGCCGCCACCCTCGCCTTCCCCTCCGCCGCCACCCTCGCCCTCCCCTCCGCCGCCACCCTCGCCCTCCCCTCCGCCGCCACCCTCGCCCTCCCCTCCGCCGCCACCCTCGCCCTCCCCTCCGCCGCCACCCTCGCCCTCCCCTCCGCCGCCACCCTCGCCCTCCCCTCCGCCGCCACCCTCGCCCTCCCCTCCGCCGCCGCCCTCGCCCTCCCCTCCGCCGCCGCCCTCGCCCTCCCCTCCGCCGCCGCCCTCGCCCTCCCCTCCGCCACCGCCCTCGCCCTCCCCTCCGCCACCGCCCTCGCCCTCCCCTCCGCCACCGCCTTCGCCTTCCCCTCCGCCGCCGCCTTCGCCTTCCCCTCCGCCGCCACCTTCGCCCTCCCCTCCGCCGCCACCCTCGCCCTCCCCTCCGCCGCCACCCTCGCCCTCCCCTCCGCCGCCACCCTCGCCCTCCCCTCCGCCGCCACCCTCGCCCTCCCCTCCGCCGCCACCCTCGCCTTCCCCTCCGCCGCCACCCTCGCCCTCCCCTCCGCCGCCACCCTCGCCCTCCCCTCCGCCGCCACCCTCGCCCTCCCCTCCGCCGCCACCCTCGCCCTCCCCTCCGCCGCCACCCTCGCCCTCCCCTCCGCCGCCACCCTCGCCCTCCCCTCCGCCGCCACCCTCGCCCTCCCCTCCGCCGCCGCCCTCGCCCTCCCCTCCGCCGCCGCCCTCGCCCTCCCCTCCGCCGCCGCCCTCGCCCTCCCCTCCGCCACCGCCTTCGCCCTCCCCTCCGCCACCGCCTTCGCCCTCCCCTCCGCCACCGCCTTCGCCCTCCCCTCCGCCGCCACCTTCGCCCTCCCCTCCGCCGCCACCTTCGCCCTCCCCTCCGCCGCCACCTTCGCCCTCCCCTCCGCCGCCACCTTCGCCCTCCCCTCCGCCGCCACCCTCGCCCTCCCCTCCGCCGCCATCTTCGCCCTCCCCTCCGCCGCCACCCTCGCCCTCCCCTCCGCCACCGCCCTCGCCTTCCCCTCCGCCACCGCCCTCGCCTTCCCCTCCGCCACCGCCCTCGCCCTCCCCTCCGCCACCGCCCTCTCCCTTCCCTCCGCCACCACCCTCGCCCTCCCCTCCACCACCACCCTCGCCTTCCCCTCCGCCGCCACCCTCGCCCTCCCCTCCGCCGCCACCCTCGCCTTCCCCTCCGCCGCCACCCTCGCCCTCCCCTCCACCACCACCCTCGCCTTCCCCTCCGCCACCACCCTCGCCTTCCCCATCTCCACCCTCACCAGTCCCTCCTTCTCCATTCCCACCAAGCCCACCCCCCTTACCTCCACCCAGCCCCCAACCACCCTCACCACCCAGCCCCCAACCACCCTCACCACCCAGCCCTCCACCTCCACTTCATCCGAGCCCCCCTTCGTTTGAGCCGCCCACCTCGCTCCTGGAGCCCGGAACGCCAGGAATCCCGCCCGACGCTCCGCCTTCAATCCCGGAGCCACCCTTAATGCCACCGCCGCGCAGCCCCAAGCCTCCACGGTCGCCTCCCAAGCCCCCAAGGCCGCCACCAAAGGCTGCCAAGGCCCCTAAGACCCCCAAGGCGCCCAAGCTTTCCCCGTCGCCTCCAGCGCCTCCACGCCTCCCTTTGAGTCCCCAACCACCTCCACAGCAACCCCCCAGCCCTCCCCCACCGCCTCCAAGCCCCTCGCCACCACCTCCTAGCCCCTCTCCATCGCCGCCTAGCCCTTCGCTCCCACCTCCCAGGCCCCCACCTCCATCACCTGAGCCCCCACTCAAACCTGCCACACCTCCACCTCCGAAGAAGGGTTACAAGACGTCACCTCCTGCTAACCAGCAGTCTCCTCGACCGCCGCCCAAAGCCCCCAAGTCTCCCAAAGCCCCCAAGCCACCCAAAGCCCCCAAGGTCCCCAAGACCTCTGGATAACCGATAATAGGTGGATCATAAGTGGAACCCCCTTCTCTAGCAGACAGCTAACCTAGTAGCAGCCTCAGCCAGCCTTGCCTTGGACTCGACGATTCCTGCTGGTTCCCATCTAATACCTCCTTTTGTCAGGAAACAATTCAACTGCAAATACACATACATCTTTGTTGTTGGGTGCTGTTCTCCTGAGGCAGGCAAGGGTACTGCATGCTTGCCAGTGCAGGCAGGGGTGATACATGCGACCTGAAGAAGGCTGTAGCTGTGATTGCGCTAGGTGGTGTTGATGGTGCAGAGGCATCGGGTCGCCCTCGTATTTAAATATGACGCGTGTAAGCACGAGAACATTTGTGAGCGTGGGCAAATGCTGAAGTCCGCAGTCTGTTGGCTGAGCTGCTTGTGTGCATATCGTGCCTTGGAGTGTTGGACTGTGTGTTCGGTGCTATTTGTTTGGTGTTAGGCGTTGTTGACACATGTACCAAGTTGCATCTCAACCGCTTTCGTATATCGGTTGTTGACCACCCAGACAAATAGTACACATGCTTGTTAGTGACTTACACTCCTAAGGGCCTTACGTCGTTCTGCTGTGACAAGGATTGAGCCTTACTTCGTTTTACTGTGACAAAAATGGTGTTCTCCGTAATTGCAATCTTATCCGTTGTAGCATATTGTCTAAAAAGCCCTGACCAGTGCGTGTTAGGATAGTGTGAGCTACTGCCTTGCCGTACTGCTTCCCGAGGTACCCACCCCAGCTTTCCCCACCGAATGCGGTCACTCCCCGACAGACGGACACTCCGGGCACTCGGGACACTGAAGGTAGCTCCAGCTCTCAGGCACCGTTCTGCGCAGTGCGTGCCTTAATCGGCCTGGCATCGCCCCGAATGAGGGGTTAAGGTCCTGTCGCGCCCCGTTACCGGCATGTGCATTCTACCGGCATGCCCGTACGGTCATAGTGCATGTCTCGCAGCTTGTTTGTGTTATGGGCGTAGTTCAGCGTATGTATGTTACAAGCTGTTGTGCTAGCGCCTTTACCTTGGGTGCTGCCGGTTTCTAGTAGTTGTGAGTACGGCGTATCGGGCATATCTGCCGTACAGCCGCCGCTCCTCTTAGACCGCGCAGCCCCGTGACTCGGGGCTGCGCACCTCTCGCAACCAACGCAAGCATGTAACGACGGTGTTTGATCGCCACCTGTCGTGGCCCTGCTAGCGGGTCACCGGCTTGCATGTGACGTCGTGCGTAGCCATTTCTTACTACCAGCGTAATCCGATAGCCATAGCAATCAAGGATAGCCGTAATAGTTCGTTAGGAAGCGGAAGTTACACTGGAGGACAGTAGCTGAGACCATCGTCAGACGTACATTCTAACAGGGCGTCGACCGCCCTACCCCAGGGGGCACGCTATTGGCGCCACCGCTACTGCCGCCGTCGCTCCTCCTGTTTCTGCAGACCGCACCGACGTGTTGCCTGAAAACCCGTGGATCAGGAGGATATGAAGAAAAAGTTTAGTAGAAAGCTGGTCTGCGACTCGTAGTGTTTCCGAGGCTATAGTACGACTTCACCGTTTCACCTTCGACTGTAACTCACATCTCGCTATGTTGAGTAATTACAAAAGGGAGCAACATAACATGATTTATGCTCATAAAGGGAACGGAGGCGCTTGCAAAGATGTCAACGTCGTCATTGGCGGTTGTCTGTTGCGAGTGCGCCTCCAACTATGTATCGACAGGCCACAAATGCTTGCTTCGGTAGGTTACTTAAGTAGCTTTAGATTATGATTTCGATCTCGAAAGGCCTGGACGTCGCCAACCGTGGTTGTCAGTTTACATAGCCGATAAGCGCCTGCCTCTAGCTACCGGTACAGTTGACAGGCCAGAGCACGCGGCAACATGGCAATATTTCAGTAAACAATTTGAAAGGAACTGTGTATGTTGTTCATAGCATTGTTGACTCGTTGCAGAGCTATTGTGGACACAATCCCCATTTGATACACTTTTCCATGGTACGCCTGCAAGTTGCATGTAGGCACGTAAATAGTATATTAGCATATTCCCTATAACATCCATTTTTTCTTTGCTACAAATAGCCTATTGCCCGTTGTCGCGTTGTCATGAGTAGGCGCGCTAAGCGACCAGCCCCTAAGAGCATTTTTTTTCGCGACTCAGGGGCAGAGTCACTCTAAGCCTAAAGCTGCCCAAGGACCCTAGTTGTCACCACTGCTGCCGTATAGTGCCGTAAGGTGCCGACACACTATACTTTGACCACACTACCCCTGCTAACGTATGTGTACCTAAGGCCACTAGTGGGGGCTATATATCGAGACTGGCTACGCGTGCGGAAGTTATGTAACGGGGTAATATCCAAACACGTATGTCCACCTAAGACTTATCAGCAGTTAGGGACCGTAGGTTGTTGTTGCCGTGGCAAGCACTTGTCACGCCCTAACGTGTGACATAAAACACAACATGTTGAGCGATGGATGGAGATATAAACACACAAAAAGGACGCAAAGCATACGTGTTGGCGTTGTCAGGGCCAATGGCTGTCGCTGCCCTAATAAAACAACCTTACGTGTTACAAATCATCAGCTCATACCTCAAAGCGCGGGCATGTACTGTCGTCTCTTGGATCGGGCACGGCTGGCCTCGAACTCACTCCCAGCGGGATTGGAATAGCAGACACTCAATAAAGATATCAACGGGTTAGCGATTACCGTTCTATAGCGCGGGCCACTGCTGGGCGCGTCACGCAAGTATACCGATGGATGCGCAGGCCACTGCTGGGCGCGTTCACGCAATAACGTTGTTAGAATCCTGTCAGAGTTGTTGATAATCTATCATGAGCCTCTACACAACCGCAACCGCACGGTAGTGCCAAAAGGTGCGCTGCGCCGCACCTCCTCAGCATAAGAGCAAGGCGGGAAGCGTAAGTACAGGGCCCACATGGCACCCGATGACACCAGATACGTGCCAAGATACCCAACCAACGGCGTTCATCCAAATACCAAACCAGATAACCGATATAACATAAACCAACCTTGACGAAACCAAGCCTTAACGGCAGCTAGAAAGGCCGAGAAAGCCCTAACGAACCCTAACCGCTAACGAACCGACGGCAAATCCACCTAGACGGCATCCAGACCTGACAGCGTAGTAGACGTCGACTGGTAGGCGAAGAAGTAGTTGTCGATGGCACGGAAACGGGCAATGATCTTCCCAGCTGACACGGGCGATGGCGCGCCTAACTCTAGAGGTCGCTACCGATACAGCTGCTACCTATCCTAACGTACGTGCCGTGCTCTGGGCTAAAGGCACGCGTAGAAGTCGGGCTAGCAGGATCACCGTTACAAGGCATCGTCTCGCGTGTCGCACGACCCATTGAGTTTAACGTCCCATTGGGACGGGTCTGCTGTGTTGGTCTCAAGTCATACCCTAGAGATCAACGGAGACAACGCAACACGCGTTGTCGGCACTCTTATCTACCGCCAAAGGTACAACAATACGACAGAACTGTGTAGAACCAGTCCCGCAAAAAGATCCAAAACAAAACCACATCTTAACTGACCAAATCCACCCAACTAATAAGCCAAAAACCGCTGGCATCACAAAGTATGACGGTGCACATGCTATGGCGTGACACACTTGGTTGCAGTGGCAGGCAGGGGTACAGGTTACAGAAGAGGGAAGGGGCTGTTGCTGACCTTCCAGACGTGCGAGCATGAAGGGCCCTGGTGGTGCGACCCTTGTTGACAGGAGAGAAAGAGTCTTACTTGGCCTTGACTTGTTACCAGAAAGGGGATAAGGGCTATCGGGCCTTTGCCGGAACCGCCTGCCTACCCGCCCTGGGTTAGGGTCTTGGACTGGTTAGACTGGTTAACTAAAATAACTCAAAACTCCGCCTTTTATACTAATGGGAAAAGTACGACAATTGTACGGAAACCTACTATTGGCCTGCCAGATAATAATAATAATAAGATTACGCCGGGCTTGCCCTGGCGTGGTTTAAGGGGGCGGGTGGTGGTGAGGATCAACGGGTTTCCCCTCCCCTGTACACCCTCCGCCACCGCTATGGGGTAGTTGTATGTAGGTGGGTGTTACCCTCCTGGGTCTTCTGGGGGGAGGCCTCGTTCCATTCTCCTCCGGTGCTTCACGATGGCGTTGAGGAAGTTGATGGCATTGTCATGTAGTGCGTCGCAGCATGTGCGTGCGGCCTGCGCGCTGACACCCAGAGTGAGAAGGAGCGGGTGCAAGTCCTTGCGTATCGTTCCACCGAATCCTAGGCTGACCGCTTCTTGATTGGTGTACTGGACTTTCCACCCGGCTTTTGTGAGGAGATCGGCTAGTTGTCGGTGTTGGTCTTTTTTCTCGTTTTGTTTTGCCTGGTGGTTGGTGTCAGCAGTGTAGCCAACTTTAAGGATGTGTACTGTGTAGTTTGCCTTATTGCAAGGTCCTGTGTATCCCGGCTGTAGGGTTGCTTGCCTCGGCAGCTTTGGAATGCACAGGATGTCGGGTCGCAGCTTCAATCTTATACTGTCGGGCACGCTCCCGTCAAACAGCCACACAGGAGGGCGGTCCTCAGCTATGTACTCAGGCAGTGCATCCCTCGCAGCTGCGGCCATGACCATGAAGCATCCCCCACTGCTACCTTTCGCGATCGCACGGGTGAGCAGTTGGACTGCCAGGTTATGTCTTTTTATATACATGGCCTGCATAAGCGAATGCCTGCAGCCCCCTAGGATATGGCCTCCGGAGTCGGGTAGCCCGCATAGCGGGCAGGGAGCATGTTCATGGCCGTTCGCATCGGATATAGCCGCACTCCGCACCCGATGATTGTGCTTACCGACCAGGGGCCTATTGTATCTTTGTGCAAGCTTGGCATTCCAGAGGCACCCATATAGGTAGCACATAAGCCTTCTCATTTTGACATGCCGGTTACCGCTGGCTTGCTGTGTTCTCGTGCTTGATTTCCTGTCTATTTCCGGGAGGGCACTTTTAATGAGGTCAGTGTAGAGAGTGGGCCGGGCATAGCCTTCTTTAACGCTGTCGTCCATGATTCTGTCAATCCCAACGTTGAGGTCGTTGGTGTAGTACCCCGACTTTTTAGACACCAGCCAGTAGTATTTGCTCCTGGGATTGTTATCGCATTCTTCTTTTATCGTGGTTTCCTTCTTACCGCTCGCTACACTGGTTGCCGCTTGGTCGGCCGCCTCATTGTAGGTTACACCGATGTGTGATTTTACTTTCAGGAGATATGTTTTAAGGCCTTTCTTAGCTCTCTGGGCAAGAATTTCGACGATACTTTCCACAATCGCTACATGCTTGCACCATCGAAGCCTATCTGGTTGGTGGAGGCCGTTGATAGCCTTTCTCACGAGGTATAGTGCCGCAGCAGAGTCTGTCCATAGGGTAAGGTCCTCCTCTGCCGCGGGTGTGCCTTCACGCATTTGCAGCCCATGTAGCATGGCGCTGAGTTCGCATCTTGTTATCGTCTGGCACCCGTGGCAGCCCCCGTTTACATCTATGTAGGTGATATTGCCTGTGGTCGCGTCAATTGCTGCTGCTCCTAGGCGGTTGAAGCTGCCATCCTTTTGCACACTGCCGTCTGTGTAAATGCCGCTGCAGGCGTCGTATCGCAGTGACACCTTTGCGGGGTAGTAGGACGTCAGCGTGGTGGAGTCAAGGTCTTCTGTGGCGACTGTTCGGCGAGGTGGGGATGGTGGGGATGTTGTCATCTGCTGCACTCTCCGTTTTACCCATTGGGGGGCCTTCCAGCCCGCTATGCGTTGCTCATGTTCTTCCTCCCCACTTGTGTTGATCGTGCGGGGGTGGGGAGCATGTCGTGGCTTCTCTAGGCTAAGCTCTCGTTGCAGGGCGGCGCTGTATCTCAGGCCCGCGGGGTTTCCTATCAGCAGGAAATCTAGTCCTCGTGCGTATGGGTTCCTGGCGTGTGCGCTGCTTTCCCCCAGTGCTGCTTGGTCCGGTATTAAGCATGCCGCGGGGTGGGCGGGGGGCGCTTCCCCTACCCACTTTACATGCGGGTTGGACAGAAGCGTGTTGTACAAGGCTGTAGGTTGGCGGGGGAGAACGACGAGGGTCGCTGCGGGGGCTTCCGATCCGCTCGCCTCGTGCGCCCATGCAAGTGCCCAGTGTATAGCGTGCATGCATGCTTGCGTTGTTGCCTCTGGG